GTAGGATCTCTTCAGATATCACACTGGATCAGTGCCTAGTGTCAATTAACGGCTCTTGTTGGTTATTGTGGTTACCGTAAATGTAATATTATCATCGTCGATCACCCCGTAAGGACCCTCAGCTATGTTTTGCTTGACCTATAGGTAATCACTCTTGGTTATGACAACAGTGGCCTTACCCTTGTCCGTCATTATAATAACTATGTTGTCATCTTTTTAGAGTGTTTAAGGCTCTTCGCTCTGCTGGTGTAATATCTGGAGTTCCTGGCTGCTAGGACTTAGGGACCAGCTGTACCCGTAGCCTCTCCGCCTCCATTTGCGGAAGTTTTTTGGAACATAGATTCAACGCTAGGGATAATTTCCTCCGCACTTATCGCTTTTTTGCTTACTGTAAAATTCGAGTCTTTCTCTGATGTAAAACGCTTTTCCTCACTTAGTTGTCTGTTTGATAAATTTATCACGCTAGTAGTTGGCGCAGGCTTAGTCAAGGGCTCACTAGAAAGCTGTCTTAGAAATTAACTTCTCGAACTTACGTATCTGTCTCTCTGCAGTGCTGTATTTGGATGGCTTTCACATCTGTTGCTTTGGTTTGGAGTAGCTGGAGGTCTGCAGAAGGGAGTACGGTCTGAAGATCTTGGTTGAGCCGACCTGGATGGCGACGGATATCAGCTAAACGCCGAGTAGTCAAGTAGATCCTTTGTTTTAGGACTGACTTGACCGCTGAGATTGTTATTCGGGCAGAAATGAGTGACGTGTCCGGTGGATTAACCAGCAAATATGTGGGGATTATATTGTGCCTTAAGCACCCTTCATTGAATATGCGGTGGTTCTCCCAGTTTGCCACTAGTCTTCTGCAAGTTCAGCGATGCCACAGTTTGTACCGTGACGTGATCTTGCTTGTGTTAGTTATCAAGCACGCCTTGCAGTTTGGCAACTTTAGCGAACCTGTCTTACCCTAACACTGGCTGGTTTAATCGCGAGGCAAAAGGCTGGGAGGCCAGTTTAATCATGGGAGCAGCGCGCTGAGATGGAGAGTGGCTTTTGACGTCTAACAGCCGGTATTCAGGGTTACAGGTAAATTTAAGTCCTCAGTAGAGACTGATGGTGTTTCATTGATCTCCCTTGAATGCGTCGGATATTACTGGTAAGACTATGGGTGCCTAAAGTGGCTCTGCTAATCTCGTCCTTCGAAAAAGTACCAAAAGCTGTGACACAATCAGGAGTTGCTCAACTAACCACAAGTGGTTAGTCATAACGCTGCATAAGACTGTGAGCCCGGTGGGAGGGCCAGCATTTAAACTCGGCCTCGACTAGTAGTGTGATGCACCACCCATAAATGCGAATGATGATTTCTCTGATGGGGACGTAGATATACCATACATACGGAGAAATTTGGACATCCTGTTGCCTTATAGTGGACCTAACAACCGACCAATCATGAATGTTACTACAATTTCACACTTCCAAACCTAATCTACTCAGTTCGCTCTAACACATCGTAGCATTTTCGAGTTAGAATTCACTGACTAGAACCTCCGTGGTTCGAAGCCCACCTCTGCATCTTGAATTCCCCAGTTTAGGCTTGGGCAACTTGGAAGTATCTTAGCCCTCGTGCTTCCTTCGGGTGGTATGACAGCTAGGCGTCGAAAGGGCGTTACAGTTGAACAACTACCTTAGTGACCAGGAGCCATTTTTTGCTGGGGACCTGATCGATTTTGGGTTCGGGAAATCCCATTCGCATTCTTTTCGAAGTGATTTTTCACTAGCCAGCGAATCAGTCGATTATTACCCTTGATAATACATAGTGATTGCTCATAACTACCCTCCAATTCATAATTGAGAAATTCAGCTGGGATTTAAGTCTCCCGTTAACACTAAGGTAATTTGCAAATAATCGTAGTTCGCCACTTGAGTACAATTTAACGAGATACATGGAAGTTCAGGTCAAGGCCTGTCTGATGATCTCCAAACCGGATTACAGCGATAATGGACCGTTGGAAGTATTCCAGCAACCGTGTGAGTAGTACAGTGCTGTGCTCATAATGTGCTTGCCCCAAGAAATCGGGCCCCGTACATCCCCGAAGTATCAGTTAACATCAACGCTGTTTGCTAACAAAAGGTACGTCAGCGTATCGGAAATCAGTCCAACTGGGAGCCACCAGGCCGCCTACAAACAAGCATTTCAGTCAAATCTGATGCCAAATTAATATGTATACCAGAGACCGTTTAGGTTTTCCACTGATACGTTGTCAAACCCGAGTAGAGACTGCGATCGTCGTCAGCTGAAGTAATGTGCCAAACCTGTAGGCAGTTCACAAATCCAGCTGACTGGGGCTATGCTAACCTAGTCATTATCCGAGCATAGGCACTGCAAACACTGGGCGCGAAATCCTCTATGTCAACTGAAATATGTTTTCGAGGTCGCGGTCAGTCACAACTGTAGCGCGATGGTCCTATGATTGCAAACTTTCTAGTCTGAAGGTACGCATTAAGGGTAACGCTTCAGAAGGCAACTTACACGAAAATTGCTTGGCTCGTTTCCCTAACTTAAGACGTCCTCGAATGTGTATGTTCCAGGAACTAGTCAATGAAATCACTCCATCCAGATGACAATATCGCACATAAGTCCTCGATTCAGTGGAAAAGCACATTGAATGCTCAACCCGTATTTTTATTCGTCAAACCAAGCAGGCAGTCGTTCATGAAATGCCTAGCTTAAAAACTACTTACACTGACATGCCGTCGATTCGTCACGCTTTTATGGGTCGAAGATCATTCAGTGGTAAGAATTTTGCTGGACCAATCGCACAGTTGTTAGCCACATTGAGTGAAACCACCTTGACCTGTCGAAATCGCAGTATTTTTCATAATGTTTTACTACAGGATTGATGATGTCGATTCGCCTGACTAAAGGCCTGAGCGCGAAGGTTTTAACCCAAGCCACACTATAGTCAAGCAGGGATGAACTTTCGGGATTCTGATCAGGCCTTTAGATGGTACTGCTCATAATCTGTCCCGAGGAAAAGGAATTCGGACGCAACTTTCAGTCAACAGCCGAAATAGCACTATCTCTACTTGGTCAACATAAAAGGGTCTCTCTAATGCCGAATCCCATAGTAAGGAATTCGACCGAAACCACAAGTATTCTAAATTTTTCCCTTTGAAGAATACCCGGAATTAATTGTTCATCGCACACTTTTCTTACCAAGCAAACTAAGTTAGTCCTCTCCCTCAATCACTCCGTTGGCCCAGCTACCTTCAGTAGCTCCTCAGTCATACATATCGCTCCTTCATAGCTCCGTGAGGACCGTCCATTACCGCTGCAGACTAACGGTTTGCATTTGACCTTTGAGAGATACGATGATACAATGTGATCCACCATAAGTACATCACTGACCACACAGCTGAGCATTACAGTCGAATTTACAGTCCATGACTCTCGCTGAGATTCACAAACGTCACAGCCTCATCTGTCTGCAGCACATTCAAGTGTCGACCTCGATAAGCAGCGACAGTTTAGGTGTGGACGGTAGCTCGCAACAAAAAATTGCCAACTGCTTTTTCAAATGCATTTTTCCATTGCACCTCGCATTCGCCCTTACGGAAAGTTCACCAAGTTGGAGTATCCACTGTTATGGTGTGTACAGCGCTCTAATTCTGCCCCCACACCAAGAGGGCACCCTGGAGGTGAATATAACAATGGAATACCAAACGTTTAATCGGTCCTGGGAAGCATCACACGCCCCGAGGGAGATGTTATTCACAAGATACAGTGACAGCACCGTTGACTAGAAGTCTGTGGGAGCTGGGACGGCTTCCGTAATGCGGAAATAAAGGCGAGTTCGTATATAACACTAGAGATGCAAAACGGGAGTTGGTGTGACAGGCGTTTGAAAAACACGGAGATGTGGAGGGAAGAACAGTTCAATGAAACATGCACAACAGGAGGCGCAGTAAGCGCACACCGAATGGAGGTCCATCACTTCCGTGTGGACATGTTCTGAAAACGCCTAGCCAAGTCAGCATCTGTATTAGCACAGTTTGAAAGTATGGGTCCACGTGTAGAGGGCTGGGTGAAGCGAGGGTTTCCCTTGTGTTTGGGTTGGGTGGTTTTGTCCTGAGTCTGTAGTTCAGTGGAGACTGCTGACGTTGTTTGGCTAGTGGGTGGTGGTTTCCTGAACTGCTGGTTGCAAGTAGCGTTTCGAAAAGTATGCTGGTGACCAGAGGAACTCGTGCCGAGCTGAAACTTCTCATTCACCCAGGTGATGCAGTCGGAAGCTGGACTATCATATAAAGAAACTGTGGTAACTTTCGCATTTGGATTTTCAAATGGCTTTCTTGCTTTCTTTCGCTTATTTTGTTTTTCGGGAGTAAATGCAGGTTGCGCAGGTTTTTTTCCACCGTTGGAGCCTGAAAGGCAGAGGCGCAATTAGTTCAGTGTGAACTCAGGACTAAACGCGAAAGATAGCGAAATACGTCCAATTTGCGAAAGCAGTTCAAGCGATAAAAATTGCTCGGGGAGCTACAAATCCAGAAGGGAAAGCCTTGAAGATGTTTTAGTAAAGACATATTTGTTCTGTGGATAAGGTTCAAGAAAAATTTACACGGCGAAAAGATTTGGGTGGTGAGGTCCGCGAAATAGATCTGCCAGGCTAAACAGTAGCTCACCCTTTGTATTGAAGACGTCAGGCTATTAACAGAACGAAACAGAGATAGACAGAGGGATCGAGCTCCAAGCATCCAGTGACGGGCTCAACGTAAACATCTGCAAAGCAGGCTCTCTATGTGACAAATATCTTAGAGCGATGAGGATGATTAGATGATGATGCTAAGCAGTGCGGTATGTGATCTGTGTACTTCGAAAGGAACGCAAACGAGCAACATAATTCAGAAAGTGGATAAATCATTGACCTATTAGAAATCCAGGGCCTCACAGGAATTGTTGGCGCAACCGCTCTCTAAGATGGTGCTTGCCTGACGCATCGTGCTAGGGGAGCAGAATCTTTGCCACTGGTCAATCCGACTGAATGTATCGGAGACTAGTAACTGATCCCCTCAGTTTTCTATTTTCCTACTATCTTCACAATATACACCCTGAAAATACGCCAACAGAATGGAAATGCAACATGGGCCCGCAGCAGCGGAGGCAATACAGATGACTACAAGATGAGCAGGACGCACCGTTCACTCACTAGCCATCACCAGCACGTCCATTTCTGTGACCGGTGTGGCTTAGCCAATTAGACAGGGGGCTTTATTTAGGCTTAATTGATACAGTTTCAAGGACAACTGGGTTCAGCCTATCTGGAATAACAAGAATGTGGACGGAGACAAACGATTCAGGTTCGTCCGAACTTCTTCTGGTCGCATGTAAAGTTACGGTGGATGTTCTGACTCTGCGTGGAAGCAGGATCATAGATACGGTGTTCTCACGACTGTATCGAACATAGTTTCGCAGACAGTTCTCCTGTACTGCACAATTCCAGCAGCTAATCCAGAAAAATCAACTTGAACGCGTTGTTCGAAACCTGTATACCAGTTCAGTAAGAGCTTGTCTTCCAGAGAACCGTCTCCGTATTGCCCCTGTTGTCGAGGTGGTTCACGATCGACGCCGTTCGGCCTACTTTTGAGTGTCTGGATCTGCAGACTGTTTGCAATCTACTGGAACCAACATCAGATCAACATCGGAGAAACTGAGACATCCATGAAACTAGCTGCTATTTACGCCGGAGAAGAAAGAAATCGCTCAGCTGTAACACCCGGTGTCTAGCTGCCATGCTACCCGAAGGAAGCACGAGGGGTACTGTAAGGTTGCCCAAGCCTAGACAGGGAAAGTCGAGAGGCCGAGTTCGGGTTCAAACCACGGAACTTACGGTCAGTAAATTCGCACTCTAACCACTTGAGCCATCCCGCCCCCTACGCAGGAGACAATTGGTGTAAAGATGAGCGAACCAATTATTCACAAACGATCGGTTGATGTGGTTGCTCACGTGAGCTGGATATGAAATCCTGTACATCTGTCAGGTTGTCTTTGTTTTTCAAGGTTACGTAGACTGTGACTTGCACTTTTGGATCCAAGGGCCGGGTAACAAAAAACTACATCTAGTCCATGGATGCTGTAGAAATTATTGACGCAATAGCCTAGTAGTCGGTTTTGGGTGTCGCAAGAGTGTTGTAATAAAATCCATGTGAAGAGCTATTACCATACGGGGAGCAGAGAAATAAATATTCAAATAATCTACCTAGCTGCGAGTATCAAGGTAGATGGTGAGGATGCGGCCGCACAGGTTCCAGCGAGTGACGATAATCAAGAACCACATAGGGGCTGAAGATGTTATAAAGGTAAAGACCGGGGTGATAAATGTATAAATAGGGCATCAGGGACTATCGATGAAGTTCAGCGCTTGAGCTAACCAAACTCCACAAAACAAAGCTTACTGGTCGATGATCCATGCATGTTACATACACGCCAAGCAATTCAGGCAGTCATGCTTTATAGGGTATATTGCATCGATTTGTCACCTCGCTACTATGACCATAAATGTTAAAATATGCTCAAGCTGCGTTCGATAAGGATGCGATTGACTGAATGCGTTATCGATATCGTATGTCACAAGGACTGCAACTAGACAATACAGCCGCTTTGTCAGTCCCAAAACGCCTTCAGTGAGGTACGCACATAAAGTATGCCGACAGATGTCGGTCCCGGTTTTCGTATCAATAGCTAACTCAACATCATGCGAATATCACCAATTGAGTGGCGCTTATGTGGACTTTTTGGGAAGCGTAAATCCGACGCGCAAATATGTTGCATAGTTCAAAGTAAAAAAAAAGTGGATTAGTGTCACTTTAGCATAATCCAAGAAAGCTTTGGCTTTCCAGCAATTCAAATGGAGAATGTGAAAACTTTCCGAATCAAATAAAAAAAAATTACCGTCACTCACTTTGGAGTGGATGAGCTGGGGAGGGGTTGCTTTGCTGCTGTGGCATCTCAGCCACATTGGATTGTTTATTCGGAGTTGTTGGAGGAGGAGGGAAATGTTCGCTGTAGGCGACGGGATCGCCAGTCCATTTTGGCTGTTGTGTCGAGGGTACAACATACATGGCGGGTGTCGAGTGACGGTCGAAATTATGTGATATCGGTACAAAATGTTGTCGGGGGATCGGATAGACCACAGCCGGTTGTTGATGCTGCCGTGTAAGATACTGGGGGTAACAACTATGCCCTCCACCAACTGTGTAATTGCTCATTCCATAAGCATGTGAATACTGAGGGGGATGAGGGTTACGATCAGGTAAAAAAGTATACGGTCGATTGGAACGGTACATCGGTTTTGTGGGATAGGAATGAGGTCGGTAATGTGGTCCCTGAGATCCAGTTTGTGGACTAGAGCGCAGAATGAAATTCCCCTGCTGTTGAGGAATAATTCTTTGGTGATGGATGGAGCCCACAGGTGTGCTGGACTGATTGTTAATGCTTTGGTGGGGCTTACGGTTCAGAAACGCACCTATCAACACCTGTACGTTCGTGTCGGAAACGATGGATTGAGGAGTGTTATCTTTTGTAGGACAATCTGCAGCCCGGTGACCAAACTGACGACATCGACGACAGCGCCAGCGTGAGGGAGTTCCAAGACGCCGAATCTCATCCAGGCGTTTTGGTGAGAATAGGGAACTGAAAAGAGCGAAACGATGATTGGAACTACTTATTGGAATTGTCACAGCCCTAGCATAAATACCAAATTTAGTCGTACTCAAGACATTTTTATCAAGCACTTCATATGTGTGAAACATAGCATTCAGCTAGGGGAAGTGTGGGAATAGAAGGGCTCTGAATGCGAAAACTGAGCTTTTAAAGTGAGTATTTAGGTAACTCGAGTGAATGCCCTATGCTGATGGAATGAGTTGGAAATAAGTCTGAAAAAAGGAGAGCTAGAGCGCACAACCTTGGGTGGTGCTCCTGGTAAATTGATCGCATCGCGACAGTTTAAGGTACGTCAGTGGCAGATGTGAATGCTCACAAGGTGATGGATGAATACTCCTCATCGAGACACAGGCCTTACATTGTGTTGCAATGGATCTGTGTACTATGCAAGCAGTCACACAGTTTAGTAGAGTGAATCTTCGTAGGACCCAGTTGGGCCGAAGTCTAATTTGCTGTACAAAACTGGACATGAAGCTATGGGTGAAGACAACAGGTTAACCAACAAATGGACTTACAATCGCCACAAATCAACATGCATGCTGTCCGGGTTGAGAGTGGTGTGATGTACCAGAACCGCGTAGAACAGGTCGAGTATGCTCAGAAGCGCTAAAGGATGAAGCGAGCGGATGGAGAATGATGGACTAAGGGGAAGATAACTCAAGAGTGCACTGCTACTGACCGCAAAAAAACAAGATTACTGCGACATCTGGGTATGCTCGTGTTAAAGATCTCAATTAAATCTTTGATACTGCAGCATCGGTGACTACTTCAAGAGGTAACTCACCAATTCACATCTCATTGGGTAAAAATGGTCTTAGATGTCCAAATAAAACTTCAAATCCCGTTTAAAACGGAGTGTAGAGCATACAGAGCATGGCAAACGCGGCGATCAGATCAACGTCGAATAAAGTTGGATGGAAAGCTTCTTTGTGAAAAACCCCATTGTACAGATCACTAGCTTGGTCGGTAAAAACGAAGGAGGCTCAAACTAGTCATCGTTTTCACCCTGTCGCATGAAGCGATGGCTGGATAGCTTAGATATCAGACGTATCAAGAAACCTCTGATGATTTCCGTATGCAATCGTCTTAAACGGTGACTTATATCTTACATAATCTAGGGTTGCCAAGCCGGCCAACTGACTAAACAAGAGATCCAGAAGGTGTCACATTTGTAGGAAAATGTACTAACGTAGTGCAAAACAGCTCAATCACTTCAGCGCCACGGTATGAAATCCCTCTAAAGCGACGGATCTAAAACGTCAGCTCCATAAGGGCGGACACTGTGAAGAGTATTGCCTCAAAACTACTATAGATCATCGTTCGTACTTTATTCTCTCAGAAAAAAATACAGTAGCCGAGGACTTGGGAATACATCTCTAGTTGGGTTAGAAAGTGGGGATTTGTTCAAAAATAGGCAATAGAAAGTAACAGTCAGTGTAGTGGTGTTTTAGTGTGTAATGGTCCTGATTTGTATACCCCGGTTCACCACACGTAGGAGGACAGGGGGAAGGCTGCTAGTCACCGAAAGAGACAAATCCTATACAAGGCAAATCATTAGATGAATGGACCACGTTAGTCTGGATCTATTATCAAATTCTCCGGCTGAGAAGCCCACAGTTAATAATTAGACTAAGTTCATCAGTCGTTGGGGGAAGACAGCTAAGTCGATTTAGTTGTGTGACGAAGTTACTTGATTTAGGGAACCCCATTAATTTATTTCCAACTTGGTCATTGTACCAAACACTAGAGTAAGGTAAAGAGACCGATGTGAACGTGATGACCAGAACAATGCGCTTGAAAATCAAGTTGGTATTAACGGAGGTCTCAGCTGATATTCTTCAAATGAACTTACGACACAAGGGCTTCAGCTGGTAAGACATTTGAGATATCAAAGTATATTCCCTTGCTAAAACACAACACTATTTGTAGGAATTCTGAAAACGTTTCCACAGCTCACTACAACGAGTAACCGGTACTTGGATGTTCTCAGCAACCCCATAAGTAGTACACTACTGTGCCAAGAAGATGTAAGATATGTTTGTGGCAAACTATGGGACATCGTTCGAAAAGATAATCAAACTCGGATTGTAAGGCATAAAAACTATCTAGCTTTATTGCCAGATTGATAGTGAATACGGAAATGATAACTTACAGTCTCTGGAAAGCGCGCAAGTCAAGTTATGATCCAGGTCAAATGGATCTAAAATGTGGAGGAGGCGGTTAGACAGAAGTCAGGTGACAAATAGAGCTAAGTGAATACAAAAAGAGATGGGATTACGTTAACCATTGATTTACAAAACTAGGTTTTAAGTACAAAGGAGGGTAAAGATGCAACTTTGACTTTTGTCTACGTAGAATTCACCCCAATCCCTTGGTATCACGTTCAGTTAGTTTATCAGTTAGCATCTATTTTCTGTTTTTGGGTACACGTTATAACTTGATTTGCTCACAATGCAGCTTCGACACATCCGTGAGCCTGCTCACTGCATAATTCCATTTGTAACTGCACAGGTGTATGTGGGCCATACCTGTCACGCGCGAGATCCTGTGCTGTCGGAGTGGCGGTTCAACCAACCAACCAGAGCTCTCCCTTCCAGTTGGCTAATCCAAGTCTTAATCACGTGGACTGCACGTTGTACGCGTTTGACTGGCGTGTAGAAGCTGCACAGATTCTTGGCTTGTTGTAACACGTGGTGACAACGTGTGGGTATCCTGGGTATCCTATAAACTGGATGTTCGTTTTTTTCATTGTAGAATTCCTGATGACCACTTTGGTCCTGACTTTTGGGATCTATGCATTGCGGGTAACTCAACATTCTGCTCGGCGAGCGTTTTAAAACACAGGAAATAGACACTCTATGCATTATCCTCGGCTTTTAGTGTATGAGATTACCTCCTGGCTTTCGCTTGTTCTGTACTTAGCGTAATCCTGAATTCATTGGACCGTTTAGGGACAACATCTAGGCCGCGCATTTACACTGGGCTTGAAAATCTGCCGGCGGTTGTTCGTTACTTGAGAACGATGATCGTTATGACAACACTTTGGATCACTGGAGAAGATGACCTACAGATGAGAGGTTGGAGTCTAAAGAGGTGTAACTTTTAACAAGATTGAATAAGACGGGGGAGTGGAGCGAGGAAGGTCGACTCCCCAGTTTAGCTTCCAATAATCGACCGATCTGTGCAGGAAAAAAACAGAACATCTTGGGTGCATCAGGCTGAGGCTGCAAGAACCTTTGAGGTGTCCGAGAACTCTATGTATAGATCGTAAGGGTACTCTGTTTTAGTCATTCGTTCCCTTTCCCATTCACAATTTCGAACAGAGACTTTGAATAGTGCCAAATGTCGTATAGTTACCTATCACTAGAAGGTGTCGGATGCAATACATCACATCTGTCTCGGAAGGAACACGGCACGTGTTTGGTGGCAACAGCACGTCAGAAGACGGAAGATGCTGGATACGGACATAGAGATCGTGTTTCGCTGCACCAGCTGAGGTGCTTGGGCGCCCCATTCGTGTGCGCCAGGCTTGGTTAGGAGAATGAAGGGGTAGGATAGCAATTGTCGAACAGCCACGAAAGAACATATGACTGGATTATCCATTGTTGGATGGTTTTAGCTTCCAGGAGGGTGTTCTAAAAAACCCTGCCTACTATTGTTCGTAAGCAATTAAGGATATGGTTCTAAATCGAAGCTATTGGTGAGAACACTAAAGATCTTGCTTAACTGCAACACAATCAACATAAAACCGATCAGGATCCCATAGAGTAAAAACACAGGGATTCCGTTCTGTTTGCAGTCCTGAAACAAGCCTGTTATCAGACCCAGTTAGAAATACTCCGAAGCACATATTATTGTGCTTCGGAGACACAAGGTGCGTCGTTTGATATGGGTAAACAGATAGACATGCAACATCCGACGACGTCTGCCTAAGCAGGGAAAACAGTGTGCGAGGGAAAGAACATCCGGGTTTACAAACCATACAAAATAGAAGTGGTCAGAGTGAATTTCTTCTCAACTGAAGGCGAACCGGGACATTATACCAATAGCAATCAGGTCTACATACGTAGTGGGTCGACCGTGCATCAGATCTGCTTACGATCGATTTTTCACACTACAAGTGAGGTCAATCAACGTTGAAACCTCATGAAAAACTGTATTACTATTTCGTCCGTGTTGGGTGTGATCCATAGTGCGCATCTCATCAATAACTAGGGAGATTCGAACTCGCTTAGTCTCGGTTGGTGACTGAGCATCAAAAGACTTGGCCAGAAGTGGCTTGGTGCTAGTGCTGGACTTGCGCTCACTATTGCTGAGTGACACAGCACTCATCAGATGGTTCTTCGCTTAAACGTCCGGGTAGGAGATGGCCCAAGTGGTTAGACCGCGAATTTACTGACCGGAAGGTCCGTGATCCGAACCCGACCTCTACCTCTCGACTTCTCCTGTCTAGGTTCGGGCAACCTGGTAGTATCCCAGCCCTCGTGGGATGGCAGGCACTGAAAGGGTGCTACAGCTGAACGATCTCTTGATTTAGTTTGTGGTTTCTATTATTGATGCACAAGAATGAGGAGCTTAATAGAAATGGCTTTTAGCATGGATAAATCGATTGGTCGGCAGGCACCCTCTGAAGTTCAGCTATGAAGTAGAGTTCATCCATAACTGGCCCCCACCATAAATCATTTCAAATATTCGAATTTCAAACAAAGAGCTCAGCAATTAGCATATTCACCATGAGTATCGGCCAGAGAGTGGGAGCGTATGAGAAGAACTGACCAAGAAAGCGATTAACGAATGAGCACAACTCACCCTCGATCGCGAATAAAGAAGTCCACATTTTCACGAACCGTGAAAGCAACTTCTTCTGTCGAATGCACACCACATTCACGTCACGGTTGAACTCGAACAAGTAGTAGTGGAAGAACCCGAGCCACATTTCACCGAGGGACATCTTCTGCTCTGGCGGACGCCAACATTTGGCCTGAAAAGCAAAAAGGCAATAAGAACCTACAGGTGGCTAAGGCAAAACAAACGGAATTCGCTATCTGTATCGGATTCAGTCAACGGATGGACAAGGTATAACGAAGTTGTTGCTGTCGGAGCACCGTCCGGATTATTGAAGTTTTTTTTACAACAAGACTTCCTTCACACAAGTTATTACTGTAGTTGGTCAACTCTAGAGCAACTCCTTCTCCTAGAAACAAATGTTCTAATCATGACTAACTTTTCGATTTCAACAGGAGTCCCATTAGAATGAAACTGCATTCTCGTAATCACTAACCGACTTCTCATGCGTGGTAGACTCCCTATCAAGAAAATGAGAAATTCTTAATTTTGCAAGATGAAACGAAACAGCAGCAGCACAAGGAGGATGGCGGTGATAAGGACACGTCGAAGGGGCCATACGATGCTTTAGCGTTCGCAGAGTTTGAGTGAACGGTCCTAGGCATGTACTATATCACCCAATACAACCCTTACAATAAATCTAAACTGCTTTCCTGTTCACAGCCAGAAAAAAGTAGCTCGAATAGGTCGGCGAATCAAGCCGATCATGTGTCAAAAGAGTTCGACGAGAATGAAAATTCTAATCGGCGTTCCCAGTATGCTGACATCAACTACGCAAACCCGGATCTAACCCTTAGCCTTCATAATAAGATCACCAGTGCGAATGTACTTCTGGTGCCAACGATTCGTTCTTTGTCTGATGCCTAAAATACTGGAATCGATATATTTAGATACGCTTACTACTTTGTATCGACAAAACCTAGGATGACTGGTATTCCACGGTAGAGCCGTTGATTTCGAGGCCGAGTATGGCAGCAAGCTCTCCTGCTAAGGGAACACATGCGGTTTGCTGGGACTAGAGGCGGCGGAGATGATGAATGCCGGAGAGCGACAGAAAGAGAGAAAGAAACCGCGGAGTATAACAGTTTCCTTAGGACATTTTCTATAAGAGACATCGACAAATGAAGGTTAAACTTATTGCATCCTCTTTGTTGTGAAGGGGAAGCTGGACAGGGTTTCCCAAACCATTGTTCACCACTCGTTTTGGAATGCTAGAATGCAACGTTCAAACGGTCTTATGGGAATCGAATTCTTAAGGACAGGTTTGTCAAGGCGAGATGAGAGGGCTTAGAGATGCATAGAAAACATTGCGTGTTGTTCGGCCTAAGGGAGAAACCACAAGTTTGATACTCCAGTGAGAGGTCCTGAGAAGTTTCACAAAGAAGTGCTTACCAGAACGGTTAGATCATCTTGGTACCAGGCATTCCATCCACTCATCAAATTCTGCGGCTTCTCTTTTTCTACATATGCCTGCAATGCATGAGTGAACCACACAACTCTACAGTCAGAAGTCAGCAGGATATCAAATGAAAGTACGGGGTTTTATGAAACTGGTTCGAAAAAAACGGAAAACTTGAACGGAATTTACTCGCACATAACAAGGAAAGAAGTTCGCTTCTTGAAAATGTTTCTTTCAGACTTGTTGAGGACACATACTACTACGTTACACACTACGACTCATGGCACATGTTCCACGCACAAAGCGGTAAACTTCCCATAAGCCATAACTTTAAACTCTTATCAATACATATCAGAACCGATGATCCCTTTTACATGAATCTCGGTGAACAAACTTGTAAGTGGTGGCAAAACGGGTTGCACAGAGGGACAACTTACCTCCTGTAAAACCGGTAGCTGATCTTTTTGCTGCAGATAGTGAATGAGCATGATAATCAAGGCGTAGGATGAGACCCCGCCGACAGACGCGTCGCCAATATGGCAAAGCTGTGATGGGATTGGGGGTAGACAGGGAGGAGGTGGAAAACAGTGAGCCAATCTCAATGCTATGCATGTCACACAAGAAACCGAAAGTTGGCCTACAACTGACTCACCTTACTGATTATCTTCAATGCGATGCCAAGAACACGTAACTTGGGCTCGACAACCGTGTAGAATCGTAGCATTTCTGTGTTGATCACAGCCTTTGTTTACAAAATAGGGGAGCAGGTAAGAAATACATGTTACACGACGTTGAAAGGCCAACCGATCCAGATAAAAAAAGTAGCCACTTGGTAACTTACACAAGGACACCTAGTTCGGATGAATGGTGGAATCTACAACAACCTACTGGGTGCTTTTTCAGTATTGTTGAGGGATGGCCTAACAACCTAGCCCAACAAAGTTTGGCTTTCCGGGAAGGGAGCCCAAAACATAACACAATATTGACTCTCTACACCGATACACATGGCCCACTCGCGTAACCAATGAATCAGAGTAAGCACCTTCAACGCGGCAGTACTGCTAACCCCAGTTGACACGGGATCATAGTAGAAGAAGTGGTTGGGTTCTGATATGCCTAGTCAGGCGGCCGTCCGACTAAAACATCCCAACCATATCCGGAGCACAAGAGTCAAAGGTTGATAAGGTAGGACTAGGCCGTTCTGCCCAGATGATAGTATTTCGACCTCTTCGTGGCTTTTCACCTACTCGATGTGTTCGAAAAGACTGGATCAGACTACGGTCTCTTTTAGTCCATTCAAGTACTACTCCCAATGACATGGATATGCAGGGACTGATGTAAGGCAAAGAGCAATGCGGATCATTGATATCTTTCATTTAAGTGCGAACTTTTATTACGAAAAACACTGTCATTTATAAGTCTGGACGTTTGCTTAGACGGCTTCTGTATGACGATTACATGGTGCTTATTTAGGGGAGGGGTGAGATGCACTTTGCATGAGGATGAACGAACTAATTAGAACGATTACGGCAATCATGTGCGGCTCATCATTGCTCAGACTTACCAGATGATTCGAAAAGCTGATATCCACTTCAAACCCGTTCTCGAAGCTGACTTTCAGAATGGGCACACGCGCGTGTAGTATGGCTCGAACGCGGTTAATCCCAAGAGACCGGTCACATCTGAACAGTTGGGCTCTTATTCTTCGAATCAACTAGCATGGTCGTGAAAGGATGTACAAGGAAGCACAGTGAAAGTACATGGTCAATCAATGGGAAAGGAGAAAGTATCCACGGTGCGACCTAGATTCATTGTGCGTTTTTCTGATGCATCTTTTTCAGTCACAACTCTGCTTACCGGACGCTACGACAGGATAATAATACTATATATACACAAATACGAGGGTGTCGTAATGCAACAGTTAGTCTAAAAATAGTTGATTTCCCGTCTGGTCAACCGTAACTTGAACGCGGATTTTCGGGCCATCAATTTTTCGTGCGTGCAACAGACAGTGTCTACAGTCTGTTCGCAATCAAAAGTGCCACCGTTGCGTGTTGTGTTGATTCAACCATCCTGTCAAAATTCCGAAATTGTTCTAATTAATCTGTCGAAAAAAGGTTGGCCTGTTAAGAATCGTCAAAGCCGAAATTAGTTTTTGTTAAGGGGGCCACCAGTCTATTCTGTAACTCAGTACTGCGTGTCCAACAGTGACATGCAAGTATGACAAACCTTGATGCAGCCAAGTGCTTTCAGTGGCGGCTGACAATCCGCGACTTCAGTCAGCTCCGAAATAACGCCTTTAGACCAATGGAGACCTTAGTATTCCTGTTATTTGTTGAGATCTCTTCGTTTCGGCTAGTTACTCGATTTTGTTTCGAAGCGCCAGACTGTAGTAACCTGAGGGACCAAACGGAGGAAGTTCTTCTTCGAATTTATTTAAGCGCGCATCTCTAATCCGCATCCTGTTTAAAGCACAATAACGCAACCAAAGAACACGGCAATGAACCATCTGGAGCCATTTTCGAATCGGGACGTTTGGTAGTGCACGACAGACTACATTTTTGAGTCCAGTGACTCGTTCCGCTGTAACACCCTTTCGGTGCCTATCTGCCATGCCATCCGAAGGAAGGCTGGGGTACTGTCAGGTCGCCCAAGCCTAGACGAGAGAAGTCGGGATGCAGAGGCCGGGATTAAACCAAGGACCCTCTGCTCTGTAAATTCACACACTAACCACTGAACCATCTAGTAAAGTCCAGTGTACGGGAAATTCGAGCACCCCATTAGACACAAAATATTTATGGGAGAAATCCTGCGCGATGGCTTACGTATCTCAGCTTCTTTATTTGTACTATTCCTGATCAGACGGACGAACGTACAAACATGAGAAGACAGGCTTAACTTACGGACAAGGTCGATCCCACCTCTTTCAGTTGACGCCATTCGAACGAGTCGCGGGGGAAGATAACACATAGGTCCATGTCACTGGAGACCAATTCGAATCCGTTCGCGCACGACCCATACAAACGTAGTTGGACCGAGGGGAAAATGTTGGCAATCACGCGTTGCAGAGTGTCAACGATAAACTGAAGAGTTAATAGTAATATATATATATTCAGCCACCTCACGAGTAGTATGTTAAGTCCAGAAGACAACGTATTGCGATAACTCGAATATCATAGCAAGTGAAATATGGGGCTGTCTGGTGCGGCATATTCATAAACGACAGATTCGGTTGGATTCAGTTTCAGTATCTTATCAGAACGAAGCTCGTATGCGAATGAATGTGTTGAATAAGACCTTATGTAGGTCCAAAGGGAGGTAGAGAAATAGACTCTTCGTGAAATATCCTGCGCCATCTTGTCCTATATTAAAAAAGAACAAGCCACAGAGCGTCAGGGCACAAACGGCTATTGCATCGTACCTGTCTACTGGCTATTTGGCCACTACAGTCATGGAAGGAATTCAGTTCAGTCAGACATGCGGTGAGTGCGGTGATTTGGTTTTCGGAAGCCAGTGGTGGTAACGATGGTTGAAGTTTTTTCCATGCGACAAAAGAGACGGACTTTTCCGCCGCACTGGCACACATCCCAATCCGGTGACCCGTTTGACCACAACCCTTGCACTGCGGTTGCGGTGATTCGAAGTGGGCGAGTAGAGTTGAGGGCTGATTGGGTGCGGCGAGGCCTAGCACGGACGAGCGGATCCCATGTTTACCGGGAGCGGGTAATCGACCACGGACGATAAAGGAAAATGAGAGATCTTCGGGCTCCAATTTGGCCACTAGTGCGGAGTTATAGAAATTCGGGCGATCGTCATCTAAAGCCTGCGTGAAAATGCAAAGACAGATAGAACAAATCCTTGATGGTAGAAAGCGGTCGAATAACAACTGTGAAAAGCTTATGTGCCGGAGGAGACAAGCAGAAGGGGTTAGAAAAGCTTACAAGGCCACGAAAAGCAGTGCAGTCGACCCTGTATAGACAAACCATTCCTCAGAAGGGGCTGCCTCTGGTGATTCTTTTGAAGTATAATTTAGTGATGATGTCTACACCATGAGAAAATGTTTGGGCTTATCTTTTTAGAGGGGTACAATTGTAACTCATGAAAAACAGCTGGCAACACTGATGGAGTGGCCACGTTTTGGACTTTACCAGAAAGTCCAGCATGAGTCAAGGCGTTCGCCGTAATATGTCACCAGGTCCGATGACCGATCAAAGCCACTAACTCGCAACCCTAACCCTTATTAGTGGTCAGTTTAAAGTCTGGTCGTCCTGTACTTCAGGATTGGAAGGCAACAAAGGAGTGTGACAATCCGGTGTGGAGAAAAAGTAGGCAGATAAGACGACAAATCGGTATAACATGTTATAAACTAAAGACTGCCAAGTGGGCTGAGGTCAAACAAGGAGAGGTCATGGTATACCGTAGCTAGTTCTCTTACAGCCTGTGTGAAATTTTTTAGCAAGAATACGAAAACCTCCACCGTTTATCTGCTTGAGAAGTTAACACTCACTGGGCCATAGGCATCGCGTGTTAAAATGACTCTCTGCCAGCCGAGCGCTTCAGAAGTAGCATGTTCAACCGCCGCAACCTTCGCGACGCTGGCTCCTTCTGGCGGTTGTGAGTTCTCAAAATCCTGCGCAGCACGCTTCGCGCGCTTTGATGTACGTGCGTCCTTCCCATTAATTGGTACCTTTTGGGTCGAGCAGCTCTGTTCGAATAGCATAGCACCCGAGTTTTGTGACTGAGGGCCCGGATCGACGATGATATCGGGGTCATAAAGTCCTCCACTATCAGGTTGGGCGACCTTAAAAAAGACAGGTAAAAGACACTTAATTGTGCCATCCAGGAAGCACAATACTGGAAAAAGTAGGCTAGAGTAGGTAAGGATCACTTCATATGGACTAAGCAGTGTGTTCAACTGAAAGAGCATCACAAACCAGAGTACTGGTTGAGCCTACCTTACCTTAATTTGAAAATAAATGGATGTTTTCACAGAAGTGTGTTTCCAATATAAGTTGTCGGCTAACTGTAATCTGCAATTATACACACCAAGCTTGCTGTATCGCGTGGTATAAGATTGCTATCTCTGCAGAATAGCTGGGTGTGCAGATTTTTGCTCAATCAACAAGACGAAGCGATCAAATCCGAACACGGCGCTATGTGACGGTGAGAGTAACTCAGTTTCCACGACCCTCTAGCCAGCCAGCGACAGCTGGTCGCGTTATGGAAAAAGTAGGGTACCGATTAGCAACAACCGTTGAGTGCTTTGGAAATCAAGGTATGTGTACCCCTCTTACGGTGCAGTGTTAACTGTCCCAGTTGCTCACAGAAATCGGATGTCGTCGATGTAGGAACTCGGGGAACAACTGAAGCAGCTGCAGTGTGATTGCTTGACCCCCATCCCACTCCGATTATGGCTTTACCTTGTCGCAGCCCCATCATTTCCTTACACACATTCCACAAAATCTTGATCACCTAACTTACACACAAATCCGATGAAGCTGTGAGTGCATGCGCGAAAGTGGTGATGACAGGTAAATGTGTAGCTGATGAGTATTGGATCACATGCCCACTGTGACAAAGCACCTCTATGGAACAGAGTGCTGTGGGAAATCGGTCAAGGACGAGTGGAAGCCTATCAACAGACTCCATAATCATTAACGACAGTAAACAACAGACAGAAGAATAGCGTCTCCTTCATGCTTGAACGGCATTCACCTTTGTGAAGAGGATGCGTCCTTCTACTTAAGAAATTGAAAATTAGTCCTCATGAGGAAGTGGTCCCCGTTCGGAGGTAGGGAGAGATGATTGTACTTGGAACCCATTGATCCACGGTTCAGAGTCTTCTGCACACAGCGCTGATAAGCTTTGCTGAGGGCAAAATATCTGCCCCCCACTTCAGTGTTGCAAGGTAAACTCTTTTGATCCTTGCACGGCAGGCATGCGCTTCCATTCAACCGAACTACATAGGCGATCGTCACCACTTTATCTAAACGACTGTCAATTATTCGACACCATGGCAATACAAGTGATGTTTGTAAAGAGACTAATTCTTTCTACTTGTAAATTTGTCGTTAATTACTGTTCATGACACATGGTTCTCCGGTAAATAAACCAAGGAACAAACCTTCAATTTGGAAGATGTAAGCGAATCGACCGCCTTCAACAATTTGTCTCGGATGTCCGATTGAAGAAATGAGGTCGATTCGTCTGTCGAGTCCACTGTGCCACCCTGCGCCCTGGTATCAATTTCCTCGTTCATTTTCATTTCCACTTCATCATCTTCACCTAGGTCCAAAGTCTGCTCGACAAGTTCATTTTGTTCATCCACTGTGTCCTCATTCATGGGGTCAAAAGGCACGTCGTGATCCAGAGTGTCATTCGGCAGAGACTCTAGAAACCTTTCACAATCAACCTCGGTAGGATCTCCTTCGTTGTCATCATCAAAATCTTCCTCAAAGTTCAGCACAATATCCGGGTCATCTAAGGGAGATGGCCTTTTACCAAGAGAGTATTCTTCTTCGGGTGGCTTTTTGACCTACAGTGGTAGGAAACGAGGATACGTTAACAAGCATAGTCTAAACAACCAAAACCATCTGGCACAATTGCATGAGCACAATTTTGTCTTGTTTTCCTTCGGGACCCTTAGGTGGATAAAAAACGGTGACCGAGGAAAGGTGCATAGGTGTATAGATTGGGATTAGAAAAGTAGCGGAAAGTTAGTACTGTATGACACTGAAGTAGGGATTAACTAGGAAACCAGTAAACGAAAGCGGTTAAATACTGGGTACTTAAGAATCGAAGGACGAGTGACGCTACGTCTTGTCTAATTGAGAGCTACTCACACTGTTGACCAGCCGGTCGTGGCTGAACGATCAAGTATTCAACCATTGACCGGAAGGTCACGGGTTCGAAACTACCCGGAGTTTCGTCAGATGCGAACGTTTGATGATTCCCACCAAACAAAGATGAAACAGTTTCACAGCGTTGGATAGTTTCGATCGAACAAACAGTTAGCGAATGAACCGGAGATCACCTACACAACCAGAGCTGTCAATACTTCCCTAGACAGCGCCCACATGCGGCGAGTCACAGCAGTGAACGAAGAACCGAATAGCAAAAACCCGATGTTATTATTTCGTTGTGAAGAGTCACAATTCTCGCGCTTGATTTAGTGAGAGTGAACGGTGGGGAACATTTGTTTCTTGCAATACCCTTCACTCCCGTATTTTCGTCTATCTGGTTAGGTGAACTAGCTATCCGGTGTGCGGAACGCCATTAAGGCCACCCGTTTTTCTTTCTTTCCTCCGCTACTGTTCAACCTGGTCAATTCAAAACACCCAAGATGAAACGGTTCGCCGAACTGTCGACCGTCTGTGAAAAGATAACATGTACCTAGTATATAAGAAGGTTCATTAACTGGCATACGAGGGTCACGTGTGAAGAATGCCTTGGATAAAAGATACCTCGATGTGACAGTGTCTCTACGCGTACTGTCAAATTAACGAAGCCACTTCTCCTTTTCTAGATGTCTGATCGTTAGGTAATCCTGTGCAAAGATGCGAAAGTAAATGACTGAAAAGTGTGTAGACAAAATCGCAATTTTTTGATGCTACTTAATGGCCCGAAGAGAGAACCATGGATGTATACTGAGGTCTGAGAATGATGCCTCTGCACAATTTAGTAGGGAGTATGCGAAAACTCTTTTTGGGATAAATGATAAGCGCTTCGGACTTCGAAATAAGCTAATTTTCTTACCTAGTTTAGACCACTGGTAATAGCGCTTCGCACTCTATTGGCGCACCGAAAAAATAACCCTGGGTTTAGTGGACAGTCGCCTTGAATGGTGCATCAAATACTTAAACGGATGGCCTTCTGCGCCCAGTTGAGCGCTTGTCTAATCGAATCAAGAAATCAAACGGTTTTCGCGTGGCGTGCACACAGAACGACACAAACCAACTGACATTTGACCTGATCTGATGTAGGCTACACGCACCAAAAAACCAATACACACCAATGCATACAGGGGTGAATATACAACAGAGGATCAAAAGAAGCTGTTGACAGGCTGCATGGATTGCACTCACCTTACAAGTACATTGATGAGGACCTAGTCCCTGTTAAAAATGAAGACGGATGAGAATTGCCGGGTAACGTTGATGGGATCATCAAGAGCAGGATATAAAGACAGAAGAAAGTGAAGCAGCACTTTCACATTCAAGCGCTGGAAGTAAGGGATGGATCATGTCATTTAGGAAATCTAATCGGAAAAATATCGACACCCCAGTAACTCCCGTGTTCCAGCCTGAAGGATAACACATTCAGGTCTCTCTGATGTTCGCAGACGTTGATGATAGACCTGAGAACTATGGCTGTACCAGATTTCTGAGCTTCGTGTACCAAACATACTCATCTATGTTAGTGATTACAGCCTAGTCAGTCATACAGTCGTGGTTGAAAATTTCAAATGCTTCCAGCAGTCTAATAATAGAATAAAATAAATTGTTCAGCTGTAGCACCCTTACGGTGCCTAGATGTCATGCTAGCCGAGGGAACCACGAGGGACGAGATGTTGCCAGGTTGCCCAAGCCCTCTAATAAATCGGCTGTTGTCTGTCAAATTTGGATTGTGAAATGTCCCCGAGGGACGCCAGGTTGAATAGGTCTAATTCTGCCATACTAGTATACCACTCGTAACCAAAACCCTTGACCAACGTTGTCAGGGTTCGAGCAACTTTGGGGTTCAGGAAATGCGCACTGTCAGTGATAACTACTCTTCTAGTTCCGTATGAACTATAAGACCTTCAGGTACAATGGGATATCCCCAATAGCTCAAATAAGACAGCGATAAGGAAATCACTCGGCAAAGCCTAGCAGAATTAAGGGGAGGATAGGACGGTGGTTAGTAGGGGGTAAGGAATTGGAAGCCACTGTCTTCCACACAAAAGTACCACTGGAGATGTTCTCACCGGTAGCACTGCCTTGGGGAATAATGACAGCTGGCAGGAAGGCATACCCCATAATGAAACCAAAGAGTGTAAGGAATGAGCTCAGGAAGGAACATGGTCTACTTGTTTGTCCGTTCGGTAAAAGCAAGATATGTGAAAAGCGAACCCAGAACCCTGTGAAGATCACGGCAAACAGACCGATCAGAGACTGCTAAGTTATAAATAACGATGGGTGAAGGTGACTAACAATTTTCCAGGGATATCTTCAAATTCCTGCGTAGACCACTCATCAACTCCTAACTGACTGTAAGATAACATGAGGGATGAAGGAATGTTTCAATGAACTAAAAGGTTATGCGTTAGCAGCGTGTGTAGATTAACAGAACATTTTCCTGCACCGACCTCTTGGTTTTTCGCCTCCATACAGAATTCACATGGTTCTGATTCAAGGCCTGGTGAACCTTCAGAATTCATGGGCTGTTCATTCGAATGGTTTTTGTTGTACCAACGCCAGAATACCTGAAAGCAAAAAGTCAAAATAAAGAACGCATAAACTGACAGACACATATCCAAGAACAAACAGTGAATGATTCAATAGCCATGACAATACGCACAAGATTCAAGCAGTATAATCGAGGGACTATGAGAATTCTTGGATTAAAACGGATCCGTCCCAACTAGCAGAATACTTTCAAAGTGTCTGTGCCTATGTGGATCCCACGCTAAGCCATGCATATAGTAAACACCCAGTAAACACTCTCAGTTGAGGAGAAATACCTCAGTGTGATGTCCCGGAACAGGGTTGAACTACTGGCTTTTCTGGTTTGGCATTTTGAATTGGCTACTGATTCTGGGAACTGGGAGGTGAGCTTCTTCTACATCCATAAAAAGACTGAATGTGATTGCGTAAACAACGCCATATTATAAGTAAGTTTGTAAGACTTTTCTCCTATCACTATTCTCTAATCCAAAGTAATAACCTGCACTCCAGTGGTTGTCTATTCGTTGTAATGAGTAAGCATGATTTGTGACGAATGGCTTTTAGGCCGGTGTGAAAAAACGATACGCGTCAGTGGCAACCACGGGTAGACGTTTTGAGGATAATTGATGCAAGAACCTAGTGCTTGTAGTGCGCTGCACTGCTAAAGTGGATCCACGAAGCCCGTGGACAAGGAGCTTAAGAATATGATCGGACCTGGAAGAACTTGGAGATGAATTATTTGAATTATCAGCCCCAACAGGAACGGCAAAAAAACAAGGTAACGAACAACCAGGGGCTCACCATACGAAATAAGAAAGATGTCATCTTCACAAAGCTTCGCTGCCTTGTAACCAGTAAACCTTTGTCAATGAAGGTGTCGTAGATTTTTGACCAGAAAACGACGGCGAAATGTTCGGTCAGTTGGGCACAATCAGTGACGGTCAGAAGGAAATTTCGCTGAGTCAAAGAGGACTGCCTTTGAAAACATTGCTTTGTCAATGCTACAATAAAAGTAGTGGTAACAATATTAACGATGACGATGATAATGATAAATAGTTACGATGACATCAGTTGAGACTTCATCGTTTGAAGCGCATCTCCCGATACTTCCGGCAGTTTTGAACCAGAGACCTTTCGGCAACAGGTTAGGTCATTCAGTCGTCCGGTCAACAGCGGTCGATCAGAATTGTGAGTAACTCAAACTTAGACAGGATATAATGTCACCCATCATTCAGCCACGGAATCGACATTACGTAGTCACCTGTTGACTAGCTCTTCGAGTAAAGACTTCTCAGATGGGAGGTTCACGCGACTCGTAAGTTATTCCTCTCTCTGAGCCACTTTGGTATGTTGGCTTAACTCATGGTCATTTGGCTGCTAAGCGATTGACCCGGGGAATTCAGTAAAATCCTACATCAGTGGTTCTAGACGTACTCCACTACCAACAAGAATTATGATAGTAATCGGATATAAAACATGAAAATGCCAGTCATCCCGTGCCCCGAAACCAAGCCGTTATAAATCAAACAATCAAACCAGGGCGCTAGTTTCCAATCAATTGGAGAAAGTTTGGAATCGATTAAGAATTCGTTGTTTCAGAAGAGTTTGGCAAACAATCCGTTGTTTTTAACTGGATAACGTTTCGCTTTTGACACAAAAGCTTCTTCAGGTTAAGTAAGTAGGCCACCAATTTGGTCAGGCTCTAAGGCAAACGAAGCAATTAGTAAGGTCTTTACAGATTGGTACACTAGACCAGTGTTGAACGTAAATTAAGGGGTCTTGTAGGTTAGTGTGCTTGCCTAAATCTTGCAGTTGATGAATTAGGAGGTTTCAAATTATTTTTGACCGAGTTTGGTTCCATTAATTATTCACTTTGTGTGCCACTGGTAAATTTCGTTTGTTTGTGTAGGCTCGTGAGAGCTACGACAATTTAGTTGGGAAGAGGGAAGGTGGATGAGATTAAGTTTGATTCATATCTAACCCACTTGTGTTAATGACTTCTCTTTCTGATAACCGCGTACCACCGCGTGTCATCTCGGCTAATCCAAAACCGTTCTCTAGTTTGGCAAACCGATTTGTCTATACCCAAAGAGTACGACGAACGCAACGGAAGACTGGTTGTTGAGGATCGATTATGGCCCGTAGTGTTATTAATGTATCTGTCCCATATTCACCCAAATAATCCAGTAATTTCTCGAAGATCAGTGGGGTCTTATTGTCAACAAGAACAAACTGAAATCAAGTAACTGTGGTAAAAACAAGCACGAGGGGTGACCCCGCCAACTGCTGCTTGGTTCAAACTGAAAGCCTTACCCGACTGTGAACTGATTTGACCTTTCTACTCTGTTAAGTAGAGGAAAAATCTTTAAAAAAAACGGGAAGCGGAAACCTGAAAACCAGAAAGACGAGAGGGCTAAACTCATTCCCAAGAATTTGACTTCACTAAAAAAAAGTGGCTGCCGTTTCAAGTTTGTTGAGGTCGATCAGGACTGAGGTGGCCTAACCAGTCGCAATTCGCATACTTGGAAGTGAAAGATGTAGAATAACCGAATGAAACTGACCAGCGGCATCCGCAGACTCTAGCAACTCATCTAGCACAACTTCAAGTATCAGAGGAGCCACATCTGCCAAAGCCAATTTTCGAACTGCATCCGGGGCCTCTTCAGTAGTCTCGCCCTCTACAGGATTGACGTCAGAGATGTTTGGGGGACTGGCCTCCAATTTGGCGCCAAATTTTTCCGCAACTAGACTTTTGACCTAGGAAGGAGAGAAATTTAGGGAGCGGAATTGTCTACAGAAAAGAGGACAATATTGTTAGGTTGAAGGTCAATCGTCTCCAGTGCAAAGAAAACAGGATAAGCAGGATTCCGTTAAGGTTGTGTTGAAACATATGAACCTTGGAAAGACGTAAACAAAAGTAGGGACATTCAGCATATCCCATCGCTGAAGCTCTTTTAAGTACATCGGAGATTCAGCCTCCTATAAAGACACAAAAAACCGGCACGTTTTATACGATTCTCTCATCCTTGTTGCTAATCATGAACAATACACACATTACGAATCCTTGCGAAGATCCGAACGAGCAACCCTTCGGTTAGTAGTTTGTAATACGACTCACCGCGGATGGCTGATCAGCACCGTGATCAACTCACGCAAAAATCCTAATCGGTTCAGATGACCGGACAGATAAGACCGCGGGTTCGGATCCCACAGGACTAACGAAAAACTGGGTATCGGTACACTTCCTGAGAGGCTGTATACATGTTTCTGAAACAAAGACTGTCGTTCCAACACGGATGACTGCTGTCCGGCAGGCGAGTCGCTCTAAATGACCCAACATCACGTCGATTGGACGGATGCTTCGCGAGCCGGCTAGGGGCAATATGAACCAATCAGGATGGGAACCAATAGGGGCAATATGAACCAATCAGGATGGGACATTTGAGCTCAGCGCTTTTCGCCTAATCACGAAGGTTCCAGCCAGACCCTGTGAGGTACTCCGTGTCAACTCCATAGATACAGCTGTAGCGATTTTTCCTTATCCTCATAAAAGGCTATGCCAAGCTACTATGTATTTTGATATACCATTGTGGGTAGAACAGGAAGCCAAGGACTGAAGTGAGAGTGGCAATACCGTCTGTAGTACACAACAACGGCCTAGGTCGAAGCAGAGAAAAATAAGAGACTGCGCCTACCTGATGAGCCCCAAGAAGGGCAAAATCGGTCGTGGGCTGTCGACGAATTTTCAGCAACCTTATGAGTAGTGCATTACGAAAACATGAGAGATGTTTGATTGATGTTGACTTGACTACTGTATGACATTGTCAAGAGGAACTCAGTGTCGGACTCACCAACTTGATATGGAAAGCTAGAAGCACTTAGCCAAACTGAACTGAACAAGACCCAATTTCCCTCTGTGAGAGGTAAGCGTGTACTCACTTAGGAGGTGAAACAGGACACAGATGAAATGAGGACGGTTGACAAGTTGAATTTTAAGACCCCACAACCAGATCAGAAACAGTGGTGATAATATGAAACGTATGAATGCAATTCGTGTTTTTCACCACAAATAAGGCTGAACAGAAACTGCTTGAAAAACAGACCATTAATCGGTTGCAAGTAAGTCAGTCGAATCCAAGAGTGACTGTTACACACCTTGACCAGATTGCCAGCGAACCCGTCGGTGCTGTCAATAATCGGAGTTAGCCGGAGAATCGGGGGATTCGGACTGTGATCGCCCTCTTGCGGAGAATTGTCATTGGGTGTCGAAGCCTTGATGTTTCGCTTGCTGGGGGATCTGTTTTTACGCAAATTGGCCTCGACATGCGCATCGGGTTCGTGCGTCCGAACGTTGGTGAACACGTGCCTGCCGTTGGTCAACCGTGGGACGCCAAAATATCCGTACGCAGCCAAAAGTTGACTACGGATGTATTCAAAACCACCCGAGGAAATTTGCCGACACAAATCTTTCCGGTCAAATGGGTCTGTGAATGGGTGTAAATGGTACAGGTCTGTACATGAGATCTGAATAACAGATGATGCTCTCACTGGCTTGGAACAAACAATGGGATTAGTCAGGACCAGTAAGTCAGTTAATTCGGAAAAGTGCATGTATATTGCTATTTGAATAGCTGTGAGTCAAGACCACCGATGAGTGAGACACAGCCATGCGCAGCAGTGTTTTCAAACCACAGCATATTTAGCCAAAGAAAAAAATCATCATGGATCGTCGAAGTAGACATTCGTTGAGTTGATGTAGGTTGGATGCCAATGAATCAGTGGAATCGACAAGTAGACAAACTTACCAAAGACGAATATAGACGATATTCCGCCACCGGATCGGCGACGACGAAGTGGACTGGGGCACACAAGATCGACTGCGTAAGTAGCCTTTTGGAAATCGAACAGGTAAAAGCGGAGCAGACCAAGCCAGAGATCAGCCATGCACGAAGCTTGTTCCAAGTAGGGAAGGTTCGGAATAGGAAAACAGGGAGAAGGATGGGGGAATGAATCTTCAGACATTAGAAGGACCCTATACTATGGAAGCACGTTCGCAACAAATTGCTTGCCCACCCTTGGACATACATTACTCAGTAGATGGCGGAGTCAGAATAAACGGAGTTAGTCCAATGAAGTGGAACTCCGGCATTATCTGGGAAAGAAAATGACGATATTCATACACATTACTAGCGTACAGGGAGACATCAAAATGACTCCCCGATCGGAGTATCCCAAATAAGAAATGACGACTATGAGGAACCGTCCCGGTTGCTAACAGAGGTCCTGTAGATTTGGAGTTTCCAGAAGCACTTCATGTGTGAGATTAAGATCGGATTAGCATGATGATGATAATGAGGCGCACCTGCCATCATCAAATACGTTCATTTTTGTGTCACTTCACCCATCTCCATTAAAGACCCTAAAGTGTACCCCCGTAAAAGAAAGTTCAAATTTAGGACCAATGATTTTCCAGAGGAGTTTTTGATGCCTGTAAGAAACGCTTGCATTTGGTTGTGGAAGTGTACATTCGCCGGGAGAGCACGTGGTCAGATCGTCTTGGCTTGACTAGGCTTCATTTTCTTGCAGGACTTCTTATGTCGGTCTAAACTGAGGAACCACTGAAATAGCACGCGATCTACGTTATCAAACAATGGACAAGAAACTGGATGATGTTGTATGCTCCCCCTGCTGCTGACTGCACAGAAGTTGGAAATGGCCTTGGAGCCGGCTCACTGTTCTGTAGAAAGTCGCAAAGCAAGTAAACAGGAAACATGGTTACCATGAAAAGTTGTGCGTGATACATATGCCAAAGGACCTCAGCCATCGGGTCTTCCAAACGGAGACTCGATAGATCTTAGCGTTGAAATCGCAAGAATATACTTAGGCCCCATGGAAACAGGGTCGGGAGACTGAAGTTAGGCCTCGACTTGAACAACCAGAATGGATACATTGCTGAGTCTAGCAGCTATGGAGATGATCAATAACCAACAACGGCGTGAAGTGATAAACAAGGGTTCAGGACTTCGAGCTCATGTGAAGTTCAACAATGGCAGATAAATGAGGGGATGAAAACAAACCACTCACTGTTAGAGGGCAACCAAAGCTTTGAGATCAGGGCAGGGTCTGTGAGGAACGACAAATCCTGACAGTCGTACTCCACCTAAAATGCATAAAACGTAGAGTTGTGCATTCGTAAGAACGCGGTTGATCAGCAGAGTGAAAAGGCATTGCAAGCACAGCAAGCGCTCTATCAGCGACAACACAACGTGCATCCCTAGCCCAGTCGGACGATATACTGGGGAGGTTGAGTGACTGAAAATAGTTGAATGCTGGGATTGGAGTAAGAGAAACAGATAAAGGAATAAATTTTAAACGTGTCAAGAGCTACAAGTAACCGATCTCAGTGTGTTTTCACCTAATATCGCCTGCGCAGAGAACGATACTATACACCGGGATTGAAATCGTCCATGTTTTTTCCTGAATAGGTTGGTTCACATATAGAAAGGAGTGCAAAGTATGTGCAACGTTGTGAGTAGTGTGGCGTTAACACAGCAAGCGTTCCTAGCGTGCGCCATTAAGGAATATTATTCCTAAAGTTGTAGGCTGCTTCCATTTGTCGAGGGCTTGATTTGTATGGGTAACAAGAAGTTGCCCAGCTGTGTCACATCATAACTTACTTATGCTAGCAAGGTTGGAGCATCCCGTAGCTAGACAGGAGCACCCCGAATATATAGGGGGCGTCTTAGCCGTAGGACTCTTCTATATATGCTGCTCATTGCGTACTCGACGAAAAAATGCTTCACAAACTGACAGACGCGGTCGAATTCTACATTTTACGATGGCTATTACTGGACACCTTGCCGACTGTCATCCAATGAGTTGTCGTTCAGACAGGCTTGGGGTTATACTGCCACATTGGATCAAGGACTCGCCAGTCATGATAAGCCATTGGCAGAACGAGAAATAGACTACTTGTTTGGACTCATACTCGACTGCATGACTATGGGGCATTGAAGAAGTTCGGCAGAATACGGGTTTACACTTTTGGTCGACAAAGTTTGCCCTGACCTTACCGTATCCAGTAATGACCATCTAGGCCATACATGGACCACTTCAACTCGGAATTAAAAACCCGGAGCACATTTTCTCTACGCCTTTGACGAAAGTAGTAAGGTCTTATAAAAAACTTCTGAGGACAACAATGGAACCAGAAGAGAGTGTGAGGGCAAAAAAGTATTTCATGTATGACAGGGGATGGCTCAGTTAACCGAATTCGGCGATGTTCGAGCCTGAATCAGTGAATGCATCATAACTTTCGTTTGTTCTCAACTGGGGCAATATTCAGGTAGATCATTCACGCGTCGGACTGGATAACAGGATACCACATTTACCACAGCGACATGCGATCATACTTGCGCGCATGGCGATCAGGAATCAGATAATGTTGTTTTGTTTTACTCCATGCGAAGAGTTTAAGAAATTCAGATACGTGAAGGAATCAGGTGGGCTACATGGCCATTCACGATCCTCATGAAAGACCTGAAGAGTTCCAACCAGGACCAAACGGGCAATGGAAGGCTCGTCAGGACCAACCGCAATCTGCTTCTGTAATCAACACCTAGTACAAGTTTCACTGAGTTACTGCTTAGCGAGTTTTCGCTGAGGACTGTGAAGTGTGTAGAATACCTGCTTGGTTAAGATTCCAGGATCTCATGAAATCTTCACACAGACTAAAAAAGGCCAAGTAAAAATAACGTTTATTGAAAATATAACGAGCCTAGGCCTGCCCCGAAGTTCCGAAAAAGATGAATTTTGCAGACAGATCTTATATGCACAAATATATGCACACTTTGTGCACACATTCTTTGCGTTGATGTGAGCAACCATTCCCAACTAAAATCCACATCGACTTCATTTGTTTGAAACGAACACTGTCGGTCAGCTTTGTGCTTGCAAATGTACCAGTAGTTCATTGACTTCAAGGCACTATTCGATCAACAAACAAGTCCGGTGTACTGTACTACTGGATGTGGGCTGCGTTCCAAACTTATTCGCTAACGAAGTTCCACCAAGATGCTATGTAATTAACCCAAGTAGCAGCCCATAAGCATCTGGGTTGAAAGGTAAACAATCCCACTACTATCACAGCTTCTACGATGCGACAACGCGTTTACAGGGCACTCGTGTGGTGTTAAACACCATCCACTTTCTGTTTCAAAAGTAGACGAAAACGACGTGGTTTGAAACCGCATACCACACGAACCAAATCATGGGTTGATGCGACTGCAAGGAGACTAGAAACCACAGAAGAGTCATGATCGGACAGAACGAATTTTATTTACGGACAGGGGTGGGAAGTGCAAAAGCAAAGAAAAAGCGCTCATGCACACGGAGAAGCTTGGAAAACAATCGATAGCTGTAACGATACATTCCATTTGCGCACGGATACCCTACGTCAAAGTGTCACGAATGGGGCCAGATTGAAAAAACTGCTGTGAATCGGTTTTGTGTCAATTAAAGAACCCTGTCCATTTTGTTCTACCCTTCCCCAGGGTGACCCTAGTGCTTGGCTGTCTCTTAAGAAGGCTTAATTAGGACGGTAAATCTAAGGAACATCTAGATGATCTATGGAAATCTGCCCTTCGGATATTGAGACATAACAATCGATATGGTATATTGAAATTAACCTACATGAAATACGGGGAGTTTTGTACGGATGTACGGTGATTCTTACGTAGATAATGCAACGCGCATGAGAGTGACCAACTATTTTTTACTCTTGTTATTGATACGCATCGAGGCTTGTTTTCGTCCGTACATGACCGCCGGCCGGTCAAGAAACATCAGAGCAGTCTGAGTGTTCAATAGGGTAAGTTGATGTGGCAAAAACCCAACGCAATCAGTACACCACGCCTACAACCACTAGTCGGATAGTAATTAGCGCGCGCGTACAAGCATCTGTGTCCGTTAGCTTTCTACATTAGGAAGGCCAGGTTGCGCAACAGGAACTTCCACTGAAGAGTGTGTTCAGCACTAAAAGCAGCGTTGGTTAGGTCATGTATTGCGTATGCCGAACCATCGTTTGCCGAGGAGAGTGCTGTTTTCCGTGCCCAATTCAGAGTAGTGGAAGCAGAGGTAGCCACCCCTTGATCTGACCGAGGGGTATGAAAGAGACCACAAAACGTTTGGGTACTGTCAGTGCTACACGTCTAATAGGATTCCCACTACGCTTGTTTGGAGACGCTGTAGGATATGGCTGCCAGTTAATGTAAAAGTCGTTCGTATTGTCAGTTTCTATCCATATTGCCAGAATGTGTTTGGAGGTGTAAGTACCTCGGAATGATTGTAGTCAGCTAACACTAAGTCCCTTCCCCGTCCATCTTTATTCTTTCAAATAAGTCATGGTTGTACGGCAGCGAAGCATCTGTGTTGAACGCTGATGTCATGCTGTCCATGACGATGAGGCCACACGGTTTAGTCGGGCTTCCGGACCAGAACTATTTGTCGGAATAGAAAAGTGGACGTTACGGATGACCGCACAGCCTCTCCCAAGGCTTCATGCGAAAACACTGCTTCACTGTCACCAGTTATGATGTACACTCATGTTGGTACGGTTGCTTTGATCGATTCAGTCAAAGCTGTGCAACTACTTAGTTTGCACGCGGCGCCAGAAAATATGTATTAATAGAGTTGGGTTAAACAATCAAGCAAAGCGTGACTTCGGGATGCAGCAAATAGAATGGTTTGTTCAGAGGAAATCGAGGAAATCCTTTAGAGTGGGAAGTAACTGACTTACATGATAGAATGAATCTGCAGGAAGTGACTCGTGCGCTGCAGAACGATAGAGTTGGTGCAAATTTGGCAGAACCGGTGGACTTGTGTGTTGCAAGTAGAAGATAACCATGATTAACAGAACTGTCGGTGGGAACGTGCCATTCAACGGCATATCCAAATGAGCAAGCTGGACAACATGAAAAAGGGCATATGGCTCTGATAAGAGGTGTTGATGAAAACAGGTTATAAAAAATATTCCCCTCATTAACTATTGCCTACAGCAAGGATAACGAAGTCTGTTGTACACGGTGAGTTGCAGGAAACATATGATATTCAAGCACCGAAGTAGACAGACAAGGAAACAAGCGTCGCCATGCACCCAACCCAGAATTCCACAACCCACATACCATTCACCTTCGTTATATTGGCGCCGCCGGTTTTGAGGAATGAGTGCCAGTCCAACGAATTCCATCTGGCAATGACCTCAGCTTGCTGATTGGCTTTGACCACCGGGAACGAGGGATGCATATCCCACTGTGAAATATTCAGCTTTCAGTAACCAGATTTATGTAACAGGCGGGATACTTTTTTGCTAGCTCCCACTTTGCTGCATTTTCGGAGTAAGCTACTTCGAGCAACCTAGTATTGATGTATTGAAGCGCTAAACTTCAAAGCACAGTGCAGTCAGTTCCTTCCATTTCCCACACGTTTTGCCCTGATTAGTTCTCATTTTGCGGACAAGCTCATTATTTCACTTGACACTCACACACTCCTTGTGGATCATCGGATCGAACGTACCACTTTTAGGCAGTGATGGAGCTAATCAGGGTCAGCTCTTTAAAAGCAATTAAACCGAGTTGGTCATCGTACCAATATTGCTCCGCATAATCTTACAGAATCGGCTAAACACCAGAAACCCCATTTCTGTAGACTAGTGACTCAAGTGACCTTCAGTGTTTCTATATGCCACCGTCGGTAGTTTATGTGAGGTGGTCACATACAGTGGAAAATATTTCATGATTATGTCAAACGGTGAAAGGGTTAACCGATGGCTGACAACTCTAGTCACATCGTACAGGCCGTCAGAGTAGCCACGTACGGGCACGTACTGCCATCTCCATAGTGGATACACCATAACATTGACCCTTCAACCACTGACGAATGCAGTATGTTGAGGCTAGAAACATTGGTTCGGGTGTCGGATGCTGGACAGCAAGACGAAAACGGGAATCGCATTCGGAAATTTTCGCGGTAGGCGTGAGTGCCGGTATATCAAAAGTCCATCATACTGTAACGTCACTAAACACGGGCAGTCGACTTCACCTATTCACTCTGATTGTATAAGGTCAGTGTGCCTGTGTGTGCGTGATAATTTCCCAACATTGGTTGATTTTTCGCGCAGTTATCGCAACCACTAACTGTACAGTAAGAAGTCTGAATTTTTGGCTGAAAGGCAGTAGCCAGTTGGTCCGAATCTGAAGGACTCGATGAGTAAATATTCTCTCTTCCCTGTTAGCCACAATTGCATGTTGTACCAAACAGTTGTCACGCACTGCCGATCTCAAAGACACGGTGGGCAAATGTGCAGATTCACGGCATAATAGCTTGATAGCCAAACTAAGATATACCGCAAAAGACAACAATGCATAATCCACTTCCAACATTGTTATAGTAGCATAGGAATGTGAAACAGTGAGTTAAAAAGAGACACACATTCTGGGCTTTAAGTGAAGTCAAAGTTCTGAAGGAGAGCTTACTGACCGACGAATACCTTGAGTATCTAGGACGATTTGTTCAAATAGGCGGAATAGACCTGTTCCAATTATGAGTCGTGCGGGGAGATCGACAAAAACTTACTACCTTAGAGCACATGATGCTGTTTCCCTATCACGTGTCCATCTCATAAGAAAATCTGATTATACGTGTATCGCCATGTGTCCACTTGCACAGGGACCACCTTCTGTGTGGCGCCTCCTCCCTGCAGGGAGTTCACGAATCGAGGAATAGTGGACTACACAGATGGGAGGACAACCCAGAAACCGAAAGTGGTATTATCAACTCAATTACATACTTATTTGGTGTGAACAATAGATTCAAACCAATCTCAAATGGCTCTTCGACAAACAACCGCAGCGCGAAGGTAGTCTCGTAATTAAGCCGAACTTAAATTCAGTATTTCGAAGTAATATTCCTAATTAAGGCTTTCGAAAAGTGCATCTCGATTACCAACTAAAGCGGATTATCTTTAATCTGTTCGCTAGCGGAAACTGCCATCCGCTCTCAATGAAACGTGTAGACACTACGGCGACAACGTAAGCAATCCCCATTCACTCTGGTACCTTTTCCTTGTGTTAAACATTCTCGTGGTCAACCAATGGTTCAAATGGCTTTTACAATTGCACCAAAGCGAACGAAGGCAAGGTATGGGCGCTCATCAGAACAGGAAACGTCTAAATAATACTCGGGTCACATGACGGAGATGGTTGTTCTTGGTGGATCGATCTTAGCCAATTTGAACTCTGTTGACTGAATCATTCGAGTTGGAGCGCAGAACGGAGGGTTTTCCATCCAGACTACGATCGATTCAGCTGCATTGAGAATCTGACTAGTTTCGATCGATTGATAGGCTGATAGGACATGTCTGCCGAGTTGACCTGATGACCCGTTGCACTACGCCCTGACTTTTGAACCCCAGGCATTAGAACACTTCAGACCAATGATACAATCTAATTGAAAGTTGAGTCATAAGAACGCTCTGGTTTACGAAGCAATCGCAAACAACTGAACGGATCACCACTGAGTCGGTAGTGAATTGTAGATCGACAGCTTATTGTTTCGGCATACTGTTCAACACTGGGAGACTTTGGAATAAGAGTTAATGTGGTAGTATTGGAGATACTTACTAGTATATTTCCAAACCGATGTGTGGCAGATGACAAAGCGGAAGTTGCACATATGGCGACTTTCTGTCAGTTGTGGGGACATCTGTTCTCAGAGGTTGCCGCATAAGCTCGTTTATGTAAAGGACAGGACGAAAGCATTCTTCTAGAGTCGAGCCTGCCTTCAAGTGCGTCAGGTGAAAGTGTTTTGCTGATGCAGAACCCGGGCAACTTCAACGTTTACTCATTGGACAAATTAATGTATTGTCCAGACCCTGTAGAATTCATTATTGCGTTCAACGACAAGGTCCGTGTAGGTTTCACGGACATAAATGCACCAGTAAATCGCGTTAGGTAATCTCCAATGAATGAATAGGAGTTTATGACAATAAAAAGATCTTTTTGATTACTCTCTTCTCATGTATTCCGCGATTAACTTCACACATGCGGTGACAAACGTACACTGCCGGAGTCAATTGAAAAGGACAGCTATCTTCAGTACCCTCGACAACAAAAACAGTGTTCAAAGGCAGTGATTCACTGCCGGATTAAAGGCGACCGTTAGGCGCCTATGTTAGGTTATTTAAAATAAATGGCAGAAACTCATATCCTGTCTACAGTCAGCTGAAGAACGGGATTCGAAACCCAGGATGCCCGAAATTCCGCCACTGGAACGGCAACTTTGAAAAAAGTGTAAAATCCATTTTGGGTCACAGAAGGACCCGGGACTCTACAAAACGGCAAGCAGGACGGCTATCCAAGCAGACGTGAGAAGCTTTGAGATGCGACGTATTATAATGCTGGAAAACAAGCGGGCCGTTCTGAAGGGACTGAATCATCCCCATGCAGTTTCGACCATGTGAACTTGTGCAATATCCTTTGGTACGACCGGTCTTGTGAATGAGCAGTGAACTCACCGGTTCACCTGAAAGACGTAACCCCTGCGTGGCGGTTCGATCTTGTATTGCGCACGCTAAATAATCGGTTGCTAAATAGAACATTGTTTTCTGTGTCCACCTAAGAGCAGCACAGGCAGAGAAGTGGTAAACCTTTGACCGGGCAGCGGGGTATGAAAACGATTATGAAGAGCCTTGGTACTGTCGATGCGACCCACCTTTCAAGATGGGGTTCGCGTGATCCTCCTTGTCTGGTTGGGGACACCGCAATATGTAGCTGATAATCGATGTCAATGGCGTTCTAGTTGTCAGTTTCTATTGTGTCTGAATGAGCGTCTGAAGGCGAAGGCACGTCGGAATGGTTGTGATAGTATAAAACTAAGTCCTTCCCCAAACCACTTGTTCCTTTTTCCACAACTAGGTCTTCGAAAAAACTATGATTGTACGGCAGTGAAGCAGCTGTGTTGAACGCTGCTGTGACCTCGATGTTGAACCCTCTGGAACCCAGTTAAGTTTGTTTTATTTTCTAATTACTACCCGCTCGAATTGTCACCTTACTGATCGTAACATCACTAATGGAACACCACCTCGACGATGTGTTAATGGGCGGGTCCTGGTAATACTTAAGTGGCATTACACTACGGGAGAAAATCATTCAGCCGTTGCATCCTTCCCGTGCCTAGCTGCCACGCACCTGAAAGAGGCTCAAGGGCTGATATACTATCAGGTTGCCCAAGCCTCGACAGGAGCAGCCGAGATCTTGGGGTCCGGTTCGAACCACGGACCATTCTGTCAGTAGGCTGGCAGATTACCCACAAAGTTATCTCTACCTCATACTAGGGAAAGTGCAGTATCATGCTGAAAATCAAAGGAATTGGACGCCGGTAACTCAATGACAAACACAAGTACGGGAAATAAATAATAGCACACAAAACGGAGCAGCATAAAAGGTCATACCTTAGCCAGTTTACAGAACAGAGTAGCAAGGTCGCGGGCACGAGCATCCAACCCAAGATAGGTGAGCAAAAGTTTGGCTACATGATGGCCAAGAGGGTTCCCGGTGTGAATATCATACTGCACTTGGTTGGCGTCGGTAAAGGAGATTGAGAAATATTCGGCGTCTGTCCGAACGACACTATGAATGAGAAAAAGGATATGGACGGGGGCAATCAACACAAATTACGAGTTTTTCAATGAGAAAAAATGGAAGAATGTTCCGCGGTCCCATCAAAATCAATAGTTTGGCATTTTGATAACAGGCATAACATCTGCGAATACTAGAGATCCCAGTCGCGGAGTCAAGCGTTTCAAAAGAACCCTAAATGGTCGTGAGTCGTACTCACAGCCGGTGGATGGTGTGACTTAGCCTAAAAACAACCCTATCACGGTTCGACAGAGTGGACACCAGAACAGACTACCAAGTATAACAGGAAATCTGCATTACGATGATGCTAAAAAGATGAGCTCATATTGGGGATGGAATTGCCGACAGAAACAATACTTAATTTGTTCTTATCATTAGGAATTTCTGTCACGCTTTAATCATAATCATCTCTGGTACTACGGAATATGTGCTAAGCATTCTGGTTGAAAAAAGAGTGGTAGAGCAGTCGGGGCGGACGAACAACAATATCCAGTCCGAAGGCCCGGCTTAACCGATGTGCTGATTCGATCTTTGCACTCTCTGTGATAAACTGACACTCAAAAAATACAACAACTTGTTCGCTCCCGAACTGTACAACTGTGAACTCACTTGTAGATATCAGGGAACTTTACCAGTCCATTGGAGGGGCTCGATTTCGAGGTTTGGATGTCGGCTAGTTCCCCGTCCACCTTCTTCGGACTAGAACTCATGCTGGGTGCGGTGTACTTCTGAGAATTGGCTTTCAGCAGTTCAAATATGTCTTCCATCAGGTAGCCGAGACTCGGAGAGCGAACGATGGAATCATCGACCACCATCAGTTTGGGCTGTTTTTGGGGTGATTTGTCTCGCATCTCCGCCGTGGTTAACCGACACACATCCAAGTCCACGTGACTGTCGGGCAGAGCAACACCACTCCATGTATTGCCGACGCCGACCATCTGGAAATCTGACGAGCAGTTTAGGAATTTTGTGTAAAAGAGGAGAGAATTTTGAGAGAATGAGCCAACTATTAGGTCTTCACAAGTCGCTGAACACAGTTAACGTGACCCTCTAACTTTTAACTTATCCCGTCACATCATGTCCAGATTGTGTGAGCATTTTGAGGTTCCTGACCCACCGTATATTTCTTTTCACACTAGCTCCTTCTCGAGCCGTCAAAGTATGTTTACCCGATAGTGGAGTAGTCAGTGATGACAACAACTCATTCATCGGAGATGCTCCTGAGCACACACATCCGTCAAAAGCTATTGGTTCATTGGACTCGCGCAATCAGGAAATGTATGCAGACAAAGGAATTCAAATTCGAAACTTCTTCAGAAAGCGAGCTCTCAGGCGAAAAAACGCGTAGTATCAGGTTATCACCAACTGGAGAATGCAACCCAAAATCTACTGTCAGGAACCGCGGAATTTCAAGCAATAGACTAAGACAACAAGTAACTGATCACCCAGATAATATTCGACCTAGCAGAGTTCACACACGGTCGAGAGAACATACTACTATAAACATGCGAGTGGAACAGAGCATACCGGGAAGCATTTCAGAACGTACAAGTAAACCGAACCTCTTAAATGCAGCACAACCTTACATCTCACCATCTACACCATCATTACAAACGATCAGATCAAGTCACCTGATAAACGACCAATAAACACATCTGAGCCACGTTTGTGAACTAAACAGCAACCAAATGTAACACATTGTAACGAGCAAAGCTAAAAAAGGACGTGAGTTCATTCCCTACATTCATTCATACCTTTAATTCGGCACTGAAGAGCTTTAATCACATGATGAGCGAAACGTTGGCGCCGCTCCACTTCTGCGGGCTCTACCAGTACACCTTCAACGGCAGATTCCAATGTTTGGTTTAAAACTAAACGATGGGCTGGAATAATCGGGGGCAGATGCAACAACACAGTCCGCACTTGGTCGGTCTGATAGGTTTGCGTGTGAGGGGAATGGAAGAGAGATTAAAGTGAAAAGTAACTCCTCAACTAACACGTAGACTGGAATTTGGTAAGAGAGCTGTTTTGTCGACCACGAATCAAAAATCGGGTGAATTCGGTGGAGGTGGAGAGTCAAGCGGAATAAAGAGTGGGTAATTTTTGGAATAGTAAAACCAATCACAAGAAGCATGCAGTGCTATGTGCTTACAGTAGACAGAATTCGTTACCGAGGGGTATATTAGATAATCATAGTCGTTCAACTGTAATACCCTTCGGTGCCTAGCCGCCACGCCACCCGAAAGGAGCACAAAGGCAGGCGTATTGCCAAGTTGCTTAAGTCTTGACAGGGGAAGTCGAGGTGCAGAAGTGGGGTTCGAACCACGGACCTTCTGGTCAGTAAATTTGCGCTCTGAGCAATTTCACCGCCGGGTTATTACTAGAATGGAGAGAAAACAGTGTCAGCCATCTACATTTCACCGGCAATCGAGCAGTAGCTGCCTAGTTCACCTGGTTATGCCTGTTGCTAAATGCCCTACACACATGAACGACCCCAGCGATAATCGGGGAAATGCAGTCGTCACCCTTGTGCTAACTGGGGACCATCGATAACGAGACACGAGGCATACGAGACGATATCAAATATTCTCACTTATTTCTTTAAGATCAAACATCTGAGCACACGAACTTTTCGACACATGTTTCACTGGCTCCTAGGTACATATTCCAGTCAGAATAAAAGTGTAGTCAAAATAAATCGAAATAAAACGGAAAACATTTCTACAAGCCTCATAGTTAAAGCAATGTGTCGAAGCCCTATTATTTGGAGTGGTAGTGGAGGGACACGTGTTTGAATGATAAACCGATGGAAGATCGTTCACGCTATTCGTTTGAGCTAACAATGTTCCCTCAGTCATGCCTACTGCTTCAAGAGGGCTAGGCCATATCCAGTGCAACGCCTAGACAACCCTCTTCTGAATGCAAAACACCGACCAATGAATGTGAATCACCACGGCTTCACGTACACACAGTATCTAAATTCTTGTTCTTCGTGGAAACCCTGTGCCGACATGGTACATACTGACCGAGAATAAACCCGATGTCTTGTCTTCAGCAGATATTTCCAAACCGAGCTGTAAAATGACCGCATGTCCTTTGGTCAGCCAAGAAGGAATGTGCTCGAACAACCGTTTTTGACAAAGTTCTCGTCGGTCTGAAGAAGTAACTTGCACCACATGGTCGAGATGGCTCCGTGGTTAGAACGCGAATTTACTGACCGGAAGGTCCGTGGTTCCAACCCGACCTCTGCCTCTCGACTTTCCCTGTCTAGGTTCGGGCAACCTGGCAGTGTCTCACCTTTCGTGCTTCCTTTGGATGGCATGACCGCTAGGCACCGAAAAGGTGCTACAGCCGAACAATGATTTCTATTATTATCATTATTATTATTATTATTATTATTATCTACAGGAGCTAGATAACACACCGAGTTGTCTTGACGAGACAGTTGGTCATTGAATATTTGTCTTACAATGGGACAACTGGTAAAGGCGATGAATAGTTCTTAAGCAAGAAACGTGCATTTGAACACCACACTGGGTTCCTGCAATAGGAGCTCGCTTGTTAAGTTAAACTTAAATGGTCGACGGAGATGCAATAACCTTCGCAGAACATCGGCTTTTGTGTGGTTCTTCTCTTGTTTCATTGCAGGCACCTAGCTACTGTCCTATCGTTCAGCCGTAACACCCTTCCGGTGCCTAGCTGCCATGTCACCCGAAGGATCCAAGTTTATTAGACAGGGTGATCGGTGTGCAAAACGCTATTGTCCTATAATAAAGACAACGCACCAATTTCCTCTTCACCTACCTAGACAAATATATTAGCTTTATGGCTCACTTGAACCCTATAAATCTGGAATACCGTTTCGACCCATCCTGAGTATGTATAACGATCCTGACCGTAACACTGCTAAAAGGAGTTATGTGACGTCAAATCCCTTAAAAACTTCATCGCAAACCCTACAGAAAACTCGTGACGAATACCTGTAACAGTTCGGTCTTGGCACACGTGCCACAGAGAGAACACCGAGCTGACTCACAGGCGGCATTCAGCGTCATACAACAGATGGGTGCAGGATTGCCACGAAGAATGACAGTCGGAGTGTTGTGCAACGCTGATGCCGCATCCGTGCCCTGTATCTACTGATACGATTGATTGTTCCTAGGAAAGCAACGGTCAGTGAGCAGATAAATGAAAAAGGCGGTCCAATAATTCACTCGCAAAACCGACAACTCAAAAAATGGGCCGAACACTTCAAAAAACAGTGTAGTTGGTCTCCAGTAACACAGCCTCTGGAGATGGATACGGGTTAATGGAAGGTAAACCTTAATCGGCCGTCGAAAGAAAAAATAAAGTACGAAATAGCCGTATTAAAACGTGAGAAGACAGCAGGACCGGACGGTCTGTTTCCGGCTGTGTTCAGAGAAGGCGAAGAATCCCTGATGGACCATCTAACAAAATTCACTACTGCGATATGGAGTGCAGAGAAAGTGCCTCTAGAATAGGGCACTTCGATAGCTAATTCTACCTTCCTCCGTATACCAATCGACCGGCTTCCTCGAAGGGCTCTTTTAGGACAACCGCATGAAGAGTGGAAACAATATCATTATTATTATTATTATTATTATTATCTACAGGAGCTAGATAACACACCGAGTTGTCTTGACGAGACAGTTGGTCATTGAATATTTGTCTTACAATGGGACAACTGGTAAAGGCGATGAATAGTTCTTAAGCAAGAAACGTGCATTTGAACACCACACTGGGTTCCTGCAATAGGAGCTCGCTTGTTAAGTTAAACTTAAATGGTCGACGGAGATGCAATAACCTTCGCAGAACATCGGCTTTTGTGTGGTTCTTCTCTTGTTTCATTGCAGGCACCTAGCTACTGTCCTATCGTTCAGCCGTAACACCCTTCCGGTGCCTAGCTGCCATGTCACCCGAAGGATCCAAGTTTATTAGACAGGGTGATCGGTGTGCAAAACGCTATTGTCCTATAATAAAGACAACGCACCAATTTCCTCTTCACCTACCTAGACAAATATATTAGCTTTATGGCTCACTTGAACCCTATAAATCTGGAATACCGTTTCGACCCATCCTGAGTATGTATAACGATCCTGACCGTAACACTGCTAAAAGGAGTTATGTGACGTCAAATCCCTTAAAAACTTCATCGCAAACCCTACAGAAAACTCGTGACGAATACCTGTAACAGTTCGGTCTTGGCACACGTGCCACAGAGAGAACACCGAGCTGACTCACAGGCGGCATTCAGCGTCATACAACAGATGGGTGCAGGATTGCCACGAAGAATGACAGTCGGAGTGTTGTGCAACGCTGATGCCGCATCCGTGCCCTGTATCTACTGATACGATTGATTGTTCCTAGGAAAGCAACGGTCAGTGAGCAGATAAATGAAAAAGGCGGTCCAATAATTCACTCGCAAAACCGACAACTCAAAAAATGGGCCGAACACTTCAAAAAACAGTGTAGTTGGTCTCCAGTAACACAGCCTCTGGAGATGGATACGGGTTAATGGAAGGTAAACCTTAATCGGCCGTCGAAAGAAAAAATAAAGTACGAAATAGCCGTATTAAAACGTGAGAAGACAGCAGGACCGGACGGTCTGTTTCCGGCTGTGTTCAGAGAAGGCGAAGAATCCCTGATGGACCATCTAACAAAATTCACTACTGCGATATGGAGTGCAGAGAAAGTGCCTCTAGAATAGGGCACTTCGATAGCTAATTCTACCTTCCTCCGTATACCAATCGACCGGCTTCCTCGAAGGGCTCTTTTAGGACAACCGCATGAAGAGTGGAAACAAGCCAGGAAAGGTCAACTAGTGACTAGGCTGCGAAGTATGAAAGCCCTTACAAGTAAACTCAGCTGCGCTGGTCACTGCTGTCTCCCCGACGGGGGACACATCAGTGGTTAGAAGCATTGTCAGACATGGTCCAGTCTATCCCCCTAATGGAGCTTATGCATCCAACTTATTGCCTTCAATGCGTAGCTATCCTCCCAATCTCCCGAACGAAAAGTCCCTGACAGCCATGTGTTTGCACATCAATTATATCAGCTACCGCTTCAAATGCGCGCCTGTCTACCCTACCTCGCCAAATCATCAGTGAACGAAACTGGAAGCACTAGAACCACCGTATGGCAAGTTCTTACAGCTGGGGATGATGATGGTGGTGAAGCCGCAGTGACCGGCCGGTGAATTCTGAGTTCTGTACAGGCATTACACTTGTCAGATTGAGCGTGCCTGACCAATTGCTATTCTCCCATACGTGCTTTTCATCATGATTTTACATTTCTAATGGCAATGATTCGAAAACAAAATCTTATATAGACTGAAACAAAGTCAAGCGAAAGAACAGAAAAGTGTGGTGCACCACATTAAGATATACAAAGCCAATAAGTCTATCAAATTACGCAAAAGTGGGATGGTCCAACATAAAGGGCTACGCCCCGAACTGTTGGAAAAGCGAGCAAGCAAGCGAAAAAGAACTTACAAGTAGATTTGCCTGATGTGACTGTTGCTGCGAATGGTGTATCGAGGCACCTAAGCTCGGCATTGTTTGGCCACACGCTTGACAAACGAATGCCTGCTCAACAAGAACAAAGGGAAAGGAGCCGTTAAAACTTCAGTAAACTTGTTCCTATCGTTATAGACCCGATGAACCAATACGACGAATACGATGAGTTTCGAATCGCTTGTAACACATTTAGCACATTGTTACCATTACACGGGTGTGTAATGCATGTCTTTAATATCTGAACTGCAAACTTGTCCACGAGGTGGCATAGTGGATGTGTTCGAGATCAATCGAGACTGTAACAAGTGTTAGTGGGAATCTCGACTACAATCATCTTTTACTCAGAGTAAAACAGTAAATCTGTTCCTGTTAGAGTCATAATGCATGTTCCAATTATGTAGGGGGCAAAATACCGATCGAATTGTACCTCAGGCCATCGCTTGCTTGGATTGGGTGTTATTTGCCACTGCTTTGGTGTTCACTCTAGGTAGCTGTTCTAACAAGTCTTCGTATTTCCATTTTCGTCCGACGACAGTGGTACTACCTGACCTGCTGATCAGGGGAATCTACACAGACTTAGAAAGTGCAAATGCGGTACAGGAAGGTCTACCTTCCAAGCGTCTTTACTGAAGGGTCCGTCGGAACAATTCCTGAAGCAAAGGAGTTGATGCATATGATCATTTTATGTAGTATCATATAAATAGGTCAGTTCATTCCAACTTTCGTGTGTGTCGCATTTGCTAAGAGGATAAACCTATGGTTAAAGCAATGAGTTGTCGCTACGGATATAATGCGCCAAAAATGTCTCAACTGTTTTGTGGGTCCAGACTTGGGAAGCCAGCAGAATCTTAGCCTCGTGCTTACAATGGGCCATATCATAAATATGGGCTGAATGGAGTATGAAGAGGAATGCAACACATTTTGTGGTGATACGACTAAAATGCATAAACCTAAAGTTTGAATAGCATGAGAAATGAGTTTAGATGTGCAAACAATGCCAGAAACCTACTCGTTTCGTTTTCCCTTCTTTCCAATATATATGATTTTCGTTTAAATAGTGGAGCTGATCCATCGGGATTTCTGAAATGATAGGAGGGTCGTTAAACCTTGAAGAACGATGGGAATCATAGCGTTTTCATTGGAGAGAATATCTTGAGCTCCTAATCGCCGTACCAGGTCGGCAAATGACCACTGAGTAACCGTCTGATAAGAAGCGAGTGGACAAGTGGGCACAAACACTAAACCCCTTCCAGCACGCGAACCATGGTCGTTCCGCCTCACTCTATTTTTAAATTGTTGTTTCAAGCACAAGGTTTATCGGACTCGAAGCCAGTAATCCGGAGGCTTAAGCCTACAAAACTGCGGTCTTCGCCACTCCAACCTCTCGCCCCAAGTGAGAACTACGGATAGGAAATGGGGCAAATTTTTGTAACCGTAGTCTTTTTTTCGGAAGTGAAGTTCTCTTGATAAAACTCGAGAGGATCCCCACAACAAGCTCCCCGTGCAGGATACAATATAGCGCAATGACCCAGCAGGGATGCCCTCTGAAGGATAGGCCATACCATGGCAATCCCCCTCAGGAACGACAGCTTTCCTTTCCTTTCATCGCACCGCCTTCTTTTCTTAGGGTCCAATCCATCAGTCCTAATAGAGTTTTCCTCTAGACAACAAATGGTCTACCAAGACTTTCTGGATCATTATTCACGTCGATATGATGCAAATTGATCGTGAACAAGTAATTTGTTGGAAGCTGCTTGGGACTAATCCTGTTAAGATAGCAGTTGGCCATTAAATCAGTAAACATGCACTAATGTCAATTTCCGAAAACGTTCAAAAGAAAAATCAAAATACAACATCAAAAAGGGTGCACCGGAAACGATCCATATTGACGAAAAGAGGCCAGGTACCTTGCATTCCCTTTTGTGGATGCTGTAATTTAGCAGTTATTTCGAAGAGAACCCAAAAATATGTATCCGGTAATGATGCGTTGTGTCTGATACAAATTTCGAGAGACTTACGTGACGGGTCCATGATAGCTTTACCGGAGGATTTATCGGGAGTACCCAGCAGAGAATTTGCCACTGTACATTTCGAAGAGGGAGGGGAAATGATGAAGATGCACCCGACAAAACTACACACATTATATCGGCGACTGAAACAAAGAACTACCGATCAATCATGACTTCCGGCCAAATGGAAATCATGAATAAGTGGAAAATAGTGCACAGTCTTTCATTGTCACACGGGACCGAAAAAGCATCCGATGACTAGATTGATAAGGTTACTTACTGATCGTTGTGGAATGCGCAGTATGATTCAAGAGAGATGTTGAGGAAGAATGACAAAAAAAAACCGGGATCTGATCTGTTAGGACTGCAAATTCCTGTCCTCCGCGAAATGTGAGTGAGATAAGATAAGCGAATAGCAATCCCAAAACCGAAAGTCAAAGTTGACAACGTATCGAAATATTAGTGGCTAGGGTGCATTGATTGACTGTTGATCAGGTAGTCCTCGAGCCGTTCACCGAACCTAAAAATTAGCTTGCAAACATACCGTCAACATACGCGTAGATATCATCGTCGCGAACGCTGACGTAGAGTTAACGGCCACCTGATCAACAGCTCATGTCAACGTCTTGGGGATAAGTTGGAAATTCTCCGATATGGAAGTGAGGTCATTATATTATTCACATTTATCCCCCGTACACTTAGAAAATCGAGCAAAGCGATTCTGTAACGTGAAGGAAAGACCAGGTCTCATCCAAATCACCCAAACAGAGGGATCATCCAGCCAGGGACGTTTCAGGTTGATGATTCGAGTCTCAACCTCCCACAAGCTACGAAAACGTGGCAAAGATTCGTTTATCGTAAACTAAGCAAACTGAGGAAGCACTAGATAACGACAGACTGCTGACTGAGATTACGAGTCCCAAGTTATCGATATCGACCGAAAGGCATGGTTTATAAAACAGTTAAAGTAGCCACAATACGGCTTTAGGACCCGACACTATCATGTCAGAAACGATTTGTATGAACTTGCCTTGGTCATATGACATACTGCTAGACCCGGATCCATCTTTGTCCGATCAGACGGGGATTTATTCTTTCAAAAATTAGTCGTCTGTGTTACTCTCTGCTTATTTCAATCATCTGACCGATATTAACCGCTCAATTTGACCATTACCATTATTTTAACCACTGAATATGTTAACTGACGACGAGATCACGAAAATATTAATGTTCGTCACTGAATACTTGACAACAGTTGTCGACCACCTACTTAACAAATATATAACATTTGGGTTGTTGATGGTCAGCTGAGCAGTTTAGCACATGACAGGTGATGGCTCTCGACTTTGTTTAACTCGATGGGCGGAGTAGTTCGAAGAACAATTTGACTGGTTTCATGTGCCCCGCGCAAGCATCAACGCATCAGCGGCTTTAAAATGGGATGCAAACTCTCCGGTTCTAACATAGACCGGAGCCAAAAATAAATGGGCTGTTTTGGAAAAGGAATCATCTGTTATTGAGTATTTCTCCCTAACTGACCGCAAGGCGGTCAGGCGGGAAATACAAGTGTATTGCCATTTTTATAGGACAAGTCGCCGCAGATGTTCCAATTCCCAAGCTGGAGGGCCAGAAGACTGTGTTGGTCAGACCTCTAAACACTGACCCGGTAAGTGTCGCGTGGGCACCGCCCAGCACAGCTCAAGAGGTCACGGAGGCACACAAACCGTCATACCACGGCAAAGCCCAGCCTGTTCGTGACGAAACAAGCTCACCTGCGGAGTACCCTGGTGTAGAGATTCAGTTGAATGTGTCGTTTGTAATACTCAAATTAATGTGCGGCAGAGGGGCCGTTTCAGGTCCCAGCTGACACGATATTTGAGGCATCATATGTTGTCTTGATAAAATACACCACTCATAGGTGCTTATGGCTGGTGATCTTCCAACAAGCGAAAAATCACACAAGTAATTTATTTGATGCTTTCATGACATCTGGCCTCAAGAGACCTCGTCCATAGACATAAAACCCAAATGAGACCGAATCTCGAAGCAACTATGCGCGAAAAGCCTATGCTGAGACTAGCGTACCGTTAAGTTGGTATTACGTCTGCATTGCCAAGGTTTGGAAAGACCGACCGAGACCACAACCAAGAGAAACACACTATAGGCCGAGGCCCACTTTCTGAACGAACATTTTCTCATTGAACGAAGAGTGGGTTTTGACCTCATTCTGCACATACATAACCACCTGCGTGGCGATCCATGCCATGTGTCTTTTCACAACGTAACTGCGAAGTTACCTGGGACAATTAATCAATATCAGAGTCAAGTAATCTAGTCGAAGACGATGGATATATTGTCTACGAACTGTCCTCCACACGTTCCTTCACTTGTTCCGGACCTAAACCACTCAAATTTACTAATATATATATGCAGTTTTGTATTTTTACGAGCCATCTTTATAGAAGCTTCGAAAAGCAGGATTATCTAACCCGCGTCGATAAAAAAATTTTCGCAGTAAAAACATCGAACTGCAATGTTCTGATCCCTTAAATGGACTACGAACAAGTTGTGGTGATGGTATGGCACAAGTTTAATAAAATGCCGGCAACACCATGCAAAGCCAGCGGTTTTCACCAATCTTTTCAGCTGAGAGGCCCTCAAATTTCATGGTCAACCAATCCCGTAAGGCTTTTATCAAACGAGAAGTCAAACAAACAAACTGGCTATCGACTCGCACGCTTTTTTCGATTCAGTTGACACATCAGCAACCAGTCGTCGTAGACGGCCGAAATCCCACCACGAATGAGGCCACCCCACACCACTCCGGAAGGGAGTTTACTAACTGTGGGATTATCTAGCCTTCGGCTATAAGACTAAAACAACTCACCCGATAAGCATCTCTTTCAGCGAAACGTAAAGCTGGTACGGGCCCCAGGAGAGCGAAAGCCGACAGAGGTCGGTGACCAGATAATAACAAAATAATAACAATAGAGGAATGTTGGTAGCTCAGGTAGCGTAGATGGTCGCTGATTTGTTCGCTGAGCTGAACGAACCAACGACCATTGGTAACAAGTGTTCAGGTGCAGCAATCTTTCGTTGCCTAACTGCCATGCCACACGAAAGAAGCTTAGATACTACCTGGGTGTCCAAGCCCAGACAAAAGTAGTCAAGATGCAGAGGTCGGACCTTCGGGTCACTAAATTCGCGCCTATTCTATGAGCTATCAATTCGCCTGTATTTGCTGTAAATTATAACATGTCATTTTCAACAAAACCGAGGGTTCACAAAGTTAATTCGTGCATTGTCATGAGGTGATTTCTTCTGAATATTAGTTTTAGCATATCATATTATACGGATGTAGTTATCACGAGTTCCACGGCCAACGGTAACAAAAACTACAATTAACCAGGCTTTGATGTAGTGATTCCGTTTTAATCAATGAATTTTGTGAAACAACGCAATAGGTGGTCTGAATTCACTAGGGGGAAAAGAACGGGTAAACAAGACCACTATAGCAGCAAAAAGGCAGAAGGAAATACGAAGCACACAAAAGAGGCATGCTCTTACTCTGCTTTCTTCCACGCCTCACTGGACCAGCAGTCTCAGTCATCACCAGGCGGGAAGATGGACCTGGAAAAAAAGAAAAGTCCACGTACACCTATCGAGAATTAACGATTCGAAGTGCTACGAAAAGACACGGTAATGATGATGCCATAGATGATTTGTTCCTGAAGCTTTAATTTGTGCCTAAACGGACCTCAAAGGATGTAAAAAAAATACTCGGTAATTGACGATCGATGTCTTCGGAACATTGCCCCAGTCTGGTGGGAACACCGGGGCAGAAGGACGTCGAATGGTTTTCAGAAGAGATAACTCGCCCACGATAGATGAACTGATCACAATTAATAGGGTCTTTTCGCACAACCGCGTGAAGGGCGGAAACGAGCCAGGGAGTCAAACAGTGACTTGGCAGCGAAGTATGAAAGTCACCACCAGCAAACTCAGATGCGCCGATCACTACTGTCTCCTGGATGGAAACTCCGAGAAGGGGCACATCAACGATCAGGAGAATTGTCAGACAACCCAGTCAGGATCCAGATGGCGCTTGTGAATCCAAACTGTTGCCTTCAATGTGTGGCTGCCCTCGGATTTCCCGAATTTAAAGTTCACTGACACCCATGTGTCTACCCATCAATCTACCGCCTCCAATGCTTAGCTATCTACTCCACGTCCACAAATCATTGATGAACGAAACTGTAGCAGCTGGAGCCGCTGTAGGGCAAGTACGCATTTTCACAGCTGATGATGATGACAGAGTGCACTATAATGCATGAGACCCTGTAGCTCAGTCTTGGGCTACACATACCGGTTGTCGTCAGCTGTGAGAAGGGTTGCTCCCATGTCACAGAAAGACAATGATAAAAGAGAATGTGGCAGTTGAATAGGTCTGTGTGCGTTGATCGGACTCAGGCCACTGCGTGAATTCGGTCACCGCTTCGTATTCCACCAGCATTATGCGTTTCAAAGCGGAGAAAATCCGTTCATCTGATTTGACAAATCTGAGTGACTCAATAATATCAAGCTGACTTGGCTAGAAAGCTATTGGAAACGCACAATCACGCAAATGAGGAAGATTTCGAATAGTGGTATCTGTTCAATTCACCCGACTTGACTAAATAAACACTGGATATGGTCGAGAACAGCAGACCTTATTGCTGCCAGAAAGGTCACACCAGAAACTTGGGGCTGCGATGGCAGACACTGGACACTCAAGAGTTTGAAATTTACAGAGAACACTGTCGGGCTGCGAAGGCCAAGGAGATGAAGGAGACTTTCGCTGTAGGCAACACCCGCGTCCTATTTCAGCTGACTCGATCAACCGGTCAAAATAAGACAAGTATCTGCGCAATGATATCCGAAAAAGACGGAAAGGCAATTCAGTCACCTCAGAGACCTTAAGGCACCAAGACGTCCACACACAGACACTGAGTATGCGGACGACAATGCTCTCCTTGGTTCGGATTATTTAAAAATGCAGATAGTTTTAAACAGCCTAAATAGTGCTGCCGCACGATTTGGTATGCGCTTCACACCTGCAGTGTTAAGCACTGGTACACGACTGAGTAGGAGCAAACCCAAACCTCATGCTTGCAAACAAGCCAATCGACCTGGGCGTTTGCGTGAATTTCGGTGGACTGGACGGCGATAAGGCCATGGCAACTCTTGCCAGCCTGACAACCATGGCGCCGAAGTGACATCAATTAATCCATCAACGGAAGTGTTTACACTGCAACGGTGTGATCCATACTACGTTACGAATTAAAAACAAGGCCTCTGTGCACAGCGGACATACGAAAACTGTCAGCGTTTGATCAATGGTGTCTCCGAAGGATTGGTTGGGTCTGAGGGAATATCGGGTTGGCGATGCCAGATAGTTTTAGGAAGGACAGATGAACTACTCAAGCTTCGCGGGTTACGCTGGTTATGACATGTACCTCGCAGGCCAGATAGCGATCTGTTTCGCATAGCCCTTGATCTGGTAACGAAGTATGAAAACACTAACCGGTTACCTCAGTCGGATCGATAACTATCACTTCCCTGCATTCAATTTGATAATGGTTGATGACACTGGTAGATATGGTTCGAACGCGCCACCTTCATTGTGTGGCTATCCTGCTCAGTGGTTAGAGCGCGAATTTACAAATCGGGAGATTCACGGTTGGAACCCGACCTCTGCCTCTGGAATTACCCTGTCTAGGCTTGGGCAACCTGGCAGTATCCCAGCCCTCGTGCTTCCTTCGCGTGGCATGGCAGCTAGGCACGGAAAGTGTGTCACAGCTGGGCGATTTTTGAAGTTAAATGATCTACTAATATAGATGTACCCTTCAAATCATTGGTTGTCAACTCTACTCATTTATGCTTTCATATCTCTATTGAGTACTGGATTGGCCTGAGATAAAGTGGGCCACTAATAACCGAATAGTTTATATTCGTAATATTCGTTTTCCATGGTCGGTCCGGTAGCCACTGTTGGCTTCGAATCCCAAGACTCCAAGTCATCCGGGAAAGTTAGGCATAAACTTCAGAGATCATATTCATCAGCAACAGTAGGTTCAAAACAAGCTGTGTTGTGCTGAGTATATGACTTCTTTGCTTACGAAACGCTTCAGAACGGACAGCTTCAAAAGGCGTTCCACAAACCTGCACGTATGCTACTTAGGCTCATAGTCCAGAGATTCTTACAGACGATTGAGGCTCTCAGCCTTCAATTAGCGTCTATTATGACGCAAGAGAGGACATGGTAACTCGATAAGGATTTCATCACGGGCAAAGTGTGATCCCTACAACTAGAATTACCCCGTGACCACAACCGCCCATGCACTCACCCTGAGGCCGCGTATTGGGGGGCGAGCGCCTAGCAGAAACCCTCAACTCTGATTGGTATATATCTCGGCCCGATGATTCGTAGGCGATCATCATCCTTGCGGCGGTATCCTCATTCTGATTGGTTAAAAGCTCAATGATGGAAATATTCAAAATCATAGGCCAGGTTAAGTGAAATGTGCCAGCGGCTAGAGGCACAATGCATTTTTCTGTTAAAGCCCTGCAGGCGAAATAAAAACTTTAACGTCAAAATGTTGCATTTCATTGCAAATATGCGTGGACTGAAAACCACCCGCATCTTCCATCATTTTTTGCGATTTGTTTTAATGGATCCCTTCTAAAAATTATTGGCGCACATTCGGCTTTGAACTTCGTCTGC